TATCATCATATAGCCCATTTTTAGTACTTAAATCATGTGTGTTTTACTATCTCTACATTTATTATAAAGGAGGATCATGCATGTAAACCTCTCTTGCTGAGAAAGAGCGTTTGAAATCCAGTGTAAGCGTGCAGCAGAGTATAAAGGTTCAGGAGGCTAGCAGAGTTGTTTGTTACCATTATTTGTTTGCATTCATGCTGGAAGCAGCCGGTTTAAATTGTGATGCCGCAGTGAAACGCAAGACAGACCCTCCCCAAACAGCTTAATGTGTCAACAGTCAAGTTATCCAACTGTGGGGTGAGAAGGAAGCACAGACAGAGTTAATAGGTATGGTCTGGCAGCTAGCTAAGCTGAGCACCTAGTTTCCTCACCTGACAGCATGGCATCTTGTAGCCATATGGTTCCCATCAGTCTTTCAGTGAAAACAAGAAGGCACAACCAATGAACAAACAAACGTGTGCTCACAGCTATGACATTCAGTGGTGTGTTCCTCTCAGCTGTTACAGCAGGACTGTATTTGGAGAACTTAGTCAAAATGAATACAGCTCTTCATACAGCTCTTTCTCTTAGGGAGCTTCTGCCTGTGTAACACTTCTGAATGTCAGTCCTAGCTCCCCACTGCTAAAACATGGATTTAAGAGCCTAGTGTTTAGCTTCTCAATTGGACAAGGTACACAGTAAGATTGTGGACATTTGGCTGCTGGGGCTCAGAGGCAGTGTAGAGACAGCCCTTTTCCTTTGGTGGCCTCAGGCAGAGCACCCCAGGCAGTGCTTTCCTGTGGGAGCTACTTTCAAGCTCAACTTCATTCTTGCTCTGCCCTGAGCTACAGCTGCTGCTGCACTCCTGTGCCTGGCTATGGCCCTGCTGATCCTCCCTTGTCCCTGCTGATCACCGGGCAATGCTTGGTGCTGGTCACCCTCTCCAGAGCTGCCCTGCTCCCTTGCTTAGCTCCTCTCTCCATTGTCCATAGGGGCTGCTAGCCTCTGCTGGGGGCTCAGGCCCCATTGAGCCATGCACCATGGGCTGCATGGGGGCCACCCATGCTGCTCCCCCTAACTCAAACTCCAAAGCCCAATGCAGATCCCCATTTCCTTCCCTTTGCCAGCTCATACGGCTCTCTGTTCCTTGCTAATCCTTACATGTCTCAAGATCTTAAGCAAGCATGACTTCACCAGGCCAGAAAACCCCCTCATCACATATCAGAAAAAGTGACAAAATGCACCTTGTATTCACAGTGCAGCATCTAACCTCTCTTTAATGATCAATTTGCCTTCTGACTAGTCAACATTCTTCTTAATTTGATATATGAGAAAATGGTTATTCTGGCAGTTATCAATTATGAAGTTACAAAATAAATGACATTCTATGTTTTACACACACACACACACACAACATGTTTTGAATCATTTCCTTTCTTGCTCATGAGAATACAGTTTTCAAACTGAGTAAAATCTCTTCAGCTACTTTGAAGTTACCCTTGAGTGACTGTGTTAGAAAATTAACAATATTCTTTTTGAAACAAAGCTATTTAAACACATTTCCTGTAGGGATGTAGGAGTTCGGCATGGGCCTAATCCCAGCAGATGTAACCAGTGGAATGCATCAGGGTAACAGCACTTGGAAATCACAGCACATATAAATACTCGTAATGTTGACATTAGGGACCTGTTCTAAAGCTCATGGGAATCAATTGTGAAAATACTTACATAGCCTTCTCTAAGATCTATAGTCTTAAAAGCATTTTGGATGTGAGCCCCCAGTATGAAGGTGATTCCTTAAGAAAAAACACAAATGCACTTTCATTTGAGAACACACACTTGAGAGGTCACTCTCCTGTACACAGACTGTTGGTCTCTGAAAGAAGTCTAAACTGCCCATTGCATCTTACACACCGAAATTAAATGACCTCTCAAAGATGCACTTTCTTGTGCTCACAGTGTATTTGCAACTACGCATTTCAATATAAAGCTGCATATATATGGCTAAAACAATAAGGGACACATATTATGCAATTATGTATATTATATTCCTTAAGGACCCCTGAATAAATTTTCCTAATGAGGTGATAAAGCTAAACTTTATTGGAATGGGTACTGGTTTTAATACATTATATAGTAATTAACTCCAGCACAGGATGTAGCATCATTTATTCTATAAGTGCTCACAAGGCCTCAGAGTTCTTTATGTTGTTTTAGGGCTACTGAGTTCTCACCTGCCACTTCAGAGCGAATGCAGTACAAAGCCCTAACCTATGATCTCCAAATCACAACAATCAAAACGCAGTTTGATTTTCTCTGTTGAAAGAACATGGCCTGCATGACAAAGATATTCTGATGGTATTGAAAAACCTTTATCTCCATTGTTCTGAGTGATCTGAGGGGTGTTTTTAAGCCAGTCGAATACCATTAGATGGCACGCCATGCTGCATCACTGTTCTCACAAAATGTACTTCATAAAAATAAGAATTTTGGGGTTTTTCAAAGTTTTTTGTTCCACAATTTTTAGCAACATTAGTCCATGAATATAGCTATTCCTGTGATATTTTTTATTTGCAATGGAAACTGACACCACTCAGATATTCATAAGGAAGCAGAAATCTTCCAAATGGCTTTAGGAACTTTTTGCCTTCCTGTACAATACTGAAAAACACATCAGTATAGTATTTAATTGCTAATTTAATTAAAATAAAAATACTAGTGGTTAAAGAGGCTTATTCCTCTTTGTCTACCATTCTTGCAAAGCAAGGCTGGCGTTTCTCCACTTGCTGCTACCCCCTGTGTGGCCAACTCTGTGCATTTCAGAAACATTTGCATCAGATGGTTTCATTTCATGTTCTAGTTAAAAGACCTTCAGAACAGGAATCTCTCCAGAGTACAGCACGCTTCCATAACAGAGCTTGTGTGCCCTGCAATTTATATCAAAGGCAAGACTGGAATTAAAAGGATCCTGACTGATGAATCCATAACTATGCAGATTCATCAGTTGTGCGCTACAAGAAAGAAATGTTAGCCAGTGCAGAGGCTGATGAAGCTGGGAGGCTATGCTGAGAAGCACAAGGTAGTTCCACTCCCAAGTTGTTCGGGGTCACAATTTTGAGGTCTTGTTGCAGATGGTTAGACTGGGTTTTGCCCAGCTTACGAGCAGGTATGCCAAAGCAAAATTGTTTTAATTTTCCATGAAAAAAACCAACAACAAATCTCTCATGGTAAAAGTAAGCTCTATTTTTAAAAACGCAGTTACTTCTAATAATAGTTGCTACCTACAATATTGCACCTGATTTCACATTTTGAAGATTCAAAAATAGCTTGGAAAACCACAGGGAAGGGCTAAAATAGGAAACATTCATAAATATGCCATATTTTCCATGCTGAATAATCTCCAGAACAGAAAAGCAGAATAAATTTTGGAGCAAGTGATCTTAAATTTATCTAAAATCGGTATTTTTGATCAATAGCAGAATGAAAAACTGAACTGCAGAAAAAGTAAACTGCCATAGTTTTCATTTGTCATTATAAAACTAAGCACATACACATATGTATACCAAGTCAGTGATCTCCTAGTTTTCAGTAAAAGGAAAAAGAGAGAACGCAGCTCATTTCTGGAAACAAGATTAAAAAGATGAACCCCAGTGAGCCTTTAAATAAATAGTCTGATTATACTGAGTTATCTACCAAATGCTTTATTTTAAAGCCCATATCACGAGTTTCTGAGGCCCAGCTCAAGAGTTTGAGCTCCTAGCATTATACCACTATTATTACGGACTATTTCACTTTGCTATTGTCTACAGAATTTGGGTTGACAGTAGTAGAAGGAAATACATCTTTCAAAACAGCTATTTTCTTTTAGATGTTTCCTGGAAATACTTTTATTAGCTTTAGGTTTTTGTGAATTACTAATTAGTGGCCTTCATTCAAGATGAGTGTGTCCTGTTGCAATAAAGTAAAATGTGTGAAATAATAAGAGAGGACTTGAATAGCATATTTGTGGGAACTTGTTAACATAACTAAGGAAAATACTTACCAAGCTATAAGGAAAAGTAGTGTGATACACATATCGCAAGCAAAATGAATGTATCATAGAATCACAGAATGGTTTGGGTTGGAAAGGACCTTAAGATCATACATTTCCAACCCCCCTGCCATGGGCAGGGACACCACACACTAAAACCTGTCACCCAAGGCTCTGTCCAACCTGGCCTTGAACACTGCCAGGGATGGAGCATTCACAACATTCTTGGGCAACCTGCTCCATCATCCATCCTGTTCAAGTTACACATCCTTATTTTCCATCACATTTAAAAGTCAGCTATTAGAAAACAGCTGTAAGCAACTATCTTCAAGACGGTGAATTCACATTAAAGAGATTAATGCAGACTAGGTACTTGCAGATAAAGTCTCTCAAAATGAGATGAACTCCACCTTCTGAAGGACTATGGGTAAAATGGGAAACAGTTATTCATTTTCAAATGGCCAAAATTTCACTGCCCCGTCAAAGTAGTTGATAAGCAAATATTTTGATTTGAGGTTATGCTTCCATTGCAAATGAGATAACTTAGGCACCGGGCTTTAATGGTTCTAATTCATCATCTCCATATTGCTGCCTTTTAAAACTAATTTCTCTATGTGCACATACGCATAATACATATAGATAAAGACTCTCTACTTAAAAAAAAGAAGTCAGAAAGCCTATTAACAGAGCAGACAAAAAAGCCTCTAGTAGGAGGATATAGGAATATATCTGCATGATATATCTGCACAATATATGATATTTGTTAAACGTTTTCATGCTCTTCACCTCAAGATGCACCACGTACATTTAATTTCCCTTTAAGTAAACAGACTTAGGCTTTAATTGTGCTATGTAATAAGCACTTCTGCAGTAAATTCTTCTTGCTGGAATTGTAACTATGCACTTCACTTCTTAGGGACTAACGAAACACAGTGATGCATGACATGAATGGCTTATACAGACTGCAGGAAGAGAAGCCAATCACCTTTACCTGAAGTGGGAGACTTGCAACGCTCTAGCTCCAGGGAAACTGGACTGTCACTGAGTTCAGTCAGGCCTGAAAAAATGGAGTTAAAAAGTTAAGTTACAATCTAACAGGGCATGCTTCAACTTTCTTGGTTGATGATATTCTGCACTTCAAAGTCAATTTGGAGAAAGGAATGGTGAGGAAACGTGAGGAAAACAGGTATTTCAGATAACAGCAGTTATCAGGCTGTCGCTGCAGGAATTTAGGTCTGATTTTAAAATCACACCTTTTGCCAACTCAGATTTGTTTTCCAAGCCCCTCAGGGTAGACAAATTGTGGCTGTATCTAACTAGAGAAAATAAGTAAATAGAGCTTAAAATTTAAATGTCTCTGATGTGAATCAAACTAATTCATCCCTGTCAAACTGATGTGGAAGCAACTCTATGCTTTCAACTGCTGCAGAATACAGGAAGAAAACCTTAAAACAGGGGGACAGGTGCTGTCTGAATAGAAGAATTTTTGTGCAAGATCCTGATAAATTGTTTAGAAGTATTTGTGAGGAACTCATTTGCAGCAGTCTATCATGAAAGACAGCAACAAGTAGAGTAATCTTAATTTACGCTGCTTAAGCTTGGGCTTGTTACTGTGGTCAAACTAAGACCCATCCTTGGCACAAGTTCCATGTACAAGTTTAACATGCCTTTGGCATGCTAGGGAGAAAAAGCCTGAGCTTGTGCTATCCTCTGCCATGGGCTAACTGTGGATGAACTGGGCATGGCCACACCTTTCCAGATGTACCCTTTGTAAGTATCCCAAGCTGCCCTATAGCTTGTATCAAGTGGTTCACACTTGATATATGGAGCTCTGACACTTCATGCTGTTAGGCTACTTGGGACTGGCGGACAGCCCAGCATCAGACAACCATCTGCTAGCAGTGGGGACTCATCACTCAGGTCATACAGCCTAGTGAACATTAGCCCACACTCATGTGCATTACTGTCATATTGATACTGTGTTTACAGACAATTTGCGTATGTTGTGTACTAGAAGTCAAACATCTATCACGACCTTTCAATATGCTGTAATCTGGCACCATACCTCCTGCAACGCAACATGGGTTAACTTTTATGGCTTCTGGACCCTCAGGCTCAGAGACCCTCATCTCAGAAACTCATACAGACTTACGTTTTTGGTCATCAGTGCTGTTCTTTCTGTATTAAAACAGTGGGATCTTAGTGTAAGTACTGATATTTTTCTTACAGTGTAATTTTGAACTGCTCTGAGAAATGGGGAGAATCTAGAGCCCCAACCAGCAGAATGAAAAGTTTCTACCATGAACAAAACTTCATGAGTGCTAGAACAAGTTTGAGCACTTGGAAAACCAGCACTGATTTGTCTTATTAAGTCAGTAGCAACAACATGTTTGGTCCTGACTTTTAAACAGTAAAAGATCAGTCTAGACACTACTGTTGCTAACTGAAAACTCTGTATTTTGAGAAACATATTTGAATCTTTCTCAAATTCAACTTTGAATTTGTGTGAGAATTTTATATCCCAATAACTGTGAGTCCAGTCACTTCTGATGTTACAAGAGAATTCAGGAACTGCAACCATTCAGCGAGCCTCTCTATGCATAGCTTTCTTACCAAAGCCCAGAGTCAGGCAGAAGTACAGTTTGCTGTATGTACCTAGAGATTTGGAACGTAATGGCTTTTTGCTGCAGAACTGTCTGCAAGGTACAGTGGGAGCGAGTCTGGCACATCTGCATAGCATCAGAGGCCTTGGAGAAACAAAATGAATTATTGAACCGTTTCTGTCACAAACGCAGTATTGGAAATATTAAAGTTTTAACATTCTGGCTATGATGTTGTGATTAATGAAATTCTTCTCAGCTTTTCACGGTTACTATTGATGATATTTACAATGTCATTTGCCAGCTCTGATTTTGCTTCTAAATAGTTTCTTTTTTCCATTTTGTTATGATGCCACTGGCTTACGTAAGTAGGAAAGAAACTAAATCACTGTTCTGATAACCCAAGATCAACCACTGGGAGAATACCATAAGCTCTTCATGTTTGGCAACAGCTGCACAACATACAACAGTAAAGGTTTTATGCTCTGGTATTTAAGAATGGTGAACATGTGAACTTTTCTACAAATCTGGACTTGTTGTCAAGCTCCATCACCTCTAACAATGACCAAACCCCCAAACAAACCCCAAATCAACTCAAGAAGTGCAGTAAGCCCCCATGTTAAGCCTAAGTGGTAATACATGCCCTGCACAAATTAATCTTAGACACTTAGATCTGCTTAAGCACTGCCACTTGCAGATTTTCTCCTGCCATTAAACTTTCTTGCTCAGATATGAGTTCTTCTAATCATCCATCTATATATCTGAAGTATCTTTTAATCTTATGAATTCTAAATCCCAAAGATGTTACATGCACTGAAGCACACAAACGTCATTCACTGAAAGGAATAAACATACACTTGTCAAATTTCATGTTACCTTTCATTCCATTAAATGTTGTCTTTTGTTTCCCTTTCAAAGCTCTCATGCTTTTCTTTGTACTCCTGCTTATTTTCTACTGTTGCTTCTTTTTTAAGGGAACCAAGCTAAATCTTTGCAATAATTTCCTCATGTATAAGTATTTCCATACAACTCAGCTTCCCTTGAACATGTGGGAGACTAAAACAGCTCCTAAAGCTGCATTGCAAAACTATTTTCACTTTTCATTTTGCAGCTCTGTAGGCCCAGTATGTGCCCCAAAAGATTTTAGCTTGTTTTAGCCCCAAAATCCCCCCTGACAGTAAATTTTGAGTCCAGGTAGAGCAAGAGCATAGCAGCAAAGCTGAACACAAATAACTGAGATTGGCAATGTAAAGGACCACCTGTGAGAAGATACATCCATTGACATTATAAAGAAATCGGTTTTGATTTGAACAAATTATAAACATGTGAAAATAATGCAAGATGTAAATATAACATAAGGCATTATGTATACTTTTCAAGGTTTACTCTGATTCCCATTTCCTTTTTATAAAAGGACAGAAAAATGTGCTGCCTGGGATGGGGTAACAACTTTCATGAGCTCCTGATTTAAACTGCTTCTTGAAATTTTATGTTTCTGTCTCTGATTAAATGGTTCAGACTGCTCATTGAATTAAAACCACCCAAAGTCTTTGCTTATAAATAAATGAATTATAAATAAATCATCATAAATATTCACAAGCTAATAAGTAAGACTGGTATTATCTTATTCATAGAATCATAGAATAGTTAGGGTTGGAAAGGACCTTAAGATCATCTGGTTCCAACCCCCCTGCCATGGGCAGGGACGCCTCTTCACACTGAATTACCATACTGTTTTCTTTACGTTTAAGTATGATGCATTCTTTGGGAATGACAGTTCAGAATTTAGCTGTCAATTTAAAACTTAACCTATATTAGCTTCTACTGTGTTGTCAGGAGGGATTTAAAGCGTCAATTACTGAGATGTAATGACTCATAGCACACCGTTTTCTGTGTCCTCCTGTCAGACCAAGGTTGCTTTCGCTCACATCCCCTCTAGGGACTGGCCTGGGTTAGGAACAACGAGTTCTCACTTAAAAGTCTCCATTTTGAAAACTATTTTCCAATGGATCAACACCTTTTGAACTTGCCAACTCTTTAGATGCTTCATAAAGCCTATTTATTTTCTTGTTTTACCAACAGATGGTATGAATTTCTAGTAGGAGATGCAAATTTCTTTTGCAAGTCGGTATTTTTACATTCTGCTGCACTATTTTTCTAGATGCTGTAAATATACTTGTTTTAACATTTGAATATGTTATCTATCACTAGGTACCACATGTACAACTTGACTTTAATTGAAGAAAATAAATAACAACCAAACAACAATATTGTTGTGCACTACTGCAGAGACAGCTTATTTGTTTTGGCTCAGCATTTATTCTTGCTACAAAGGAAGGCAGCTGCCAGCAGATGCTACGTCAAATGGAACAGGTCATCAGCCCTAGAAAGCTAACTCCAGCTCTGCACTTACCCTCATCTGAGTCTCTTGTTTTCCTCAAATTAAGTCCCCTGATAAGACAATTGCTTCTGTCTTTCCCATTATATATGTCTAGAACTGATTTCTCCCACATTTCTCCAATTTCTTCCCTTCTTGTTTCTCCCTTCCCACTTTCACTTCTCAGACCAGAGAATGTGCTGTCTTAATGCTCTAAGTCCATCCTAGATGCTTTTGAGTCTAGCTTACACATGTATATATTACTCTTATCAAGATTTTTATAGATTTATTGCTAAAATTCAAAACAATTATTCCACCAGTATGCTCTGCATATTGGATGCTGCCCTTGACACTGTTGATTATGTCTTTCCTTTGGAAAACCTCTCTTCTCCAACATATTGCTTCTTTTCCAAGTTTGATCCCCCCCTCACCTTCCTTCTTCAGTTGCAGAACATCAACACTTCCTTTATCTCTCTATTCCAGTATTTGAGGAGACACTCAACTAATTAACATGGCAATAAATACCTTTTGTTGATGCTAATGATTCATGACTACACATCTCTAATTTGGATTCCTTCCATCCAAGTTAGAGTAGCACCCCCATCTTTCTAAAATTGACTCACAAATGTCCAGACATGAACTTAACATTGTCAAGATGAACTCTTGTTTTTTATCTTTGTGCTAAAGTCTTCTCTTTGCTACTACAGCACCGTTAACAGCAACACTCTCTTCCCTGATAATCTAATTTATAGTACTGGGTGGAGTGTCACACTTTAGTATCCAGCCTGAATCTGAGAATTAGTCTGTTTCTTTCTGCAAATCACCTCCAAAATGTCAACAAAAGTCTAAGTATCTTGGTCATTGATAATCTCCTCTTTGCCTCCAGTGCCTGCAAGTCTTATTCTCTCAAACTGATCCTCATGAAATTACCTTCCTGCTTCCTTTCTTAATTGAATCAACCCCTGATATGTCTTCCCATTAACTTCCATTTTCATTTATATAATCCTCAAAACTTTAGTCCTAATGCTTATGTTAGTGCATGACTGCTCCTGCTTCTGCCTTAATAATATCAGCTTCAACTGCACAATTTCCAAAAATAATGTGTTTTTCTTTTCCCATCATCATCACTTACGAGAAGAGAGAAACTAAATCCATTCTCAGAACCCCTCTTAAAACTCCTATCTCAGGTAAGTCACATAACAAAGCATAACTTGAGAATGACTTGGCATGATATTTTTAGTCTATGACATGTTCTTGCCCTGTTCTTTGCTGCCTGGTGCATCTTTCAGATCACACAGTACTTCCTCCTGTAGAAGTACTGAATGGCAAAAGCAACAACCAAATAATTTTTGAGGGAAGAAATGGAGCTGTCGATGATCTTGCACACGAGTCAGACTCGTACTCTTCAATTACAATGTATACAGAAAGATTTTGTGGACTTTTCTGATTTTGGGCTTGAAGATGGAAACAGGATCATATATTTTCAGCTATGAGAAACTCTGGTCTGTATTTGTAATTTTTAATGAAAACGTTGGTGATTTTGGTCTTAGAATTTATTATTTTTTCTAAACCCCTAAATCTTTGACTACTGTTCACCATCAGGTTCTCTGTTGCAGACTTGAAAGCAGTAAAACCAGACTAATATACTTTAAGACATTATAACTGAACCTTTTTATGGACTGCTGAATTTGTAAGTAGACTTGTCTTTTAACTAAACAGGCCACTTTTTATGAAGCACTATGAAACAAAATCATAGCAATCAGCTGTTGAGTAATCGGTCTAGACAGATGGAACAGAATTTCTCGTGCAAGTGTACAAATGCATTGCAATAGCCCCACAACTCCATACGTATGTGAGATGATAAAACAACTGCCACCCCTTTATCTTGCCTATACTGAGTATTTAATGTAAAATGGCCTAACCAGTTGTTCTGTGAAAATGACTTTAAAAAGAGATTAATAAGAGGCATCCTGGAGACCTAATTACATATAAGCACTGCAGTTAATTAAGATACATACAGCTCATCTGTTGAAAAGTCATTTTTGCAAAATTAATTATAGCTTTGTTCATTGAATGCCACAGTGATGAATACTAATATTTAATTTGCCTATCACTAGAATTCAAAATTTAAAGATAATAAAAACATTAATTTTCATAGCTCTCTTTGATGTACATATTTCTATGCCCATTTTACTTTCTCTATTAAAGATCAGAGGCATGGGATGGCTCCCCAAAGCCAAATATGCAAGTACCAAACCAAGATTAAAATTGTAAATTTCATAGCACACAATCCAATCAGTTCTCTTTTAAGCCACATTGTTCTTCTGAAAATAAGCAAGAATGAATTAATAGCTAGAACCAGACAGTGCCATTGCAAAACAAGAAATGCTTCATATAAGTAGATGTACACCGAAATAGAGATAAACCCAAAGAAAAATACTGTCATCAAAAACATAATATTGTTGAAAAATCATTTCTAAGGCCCATGTAAGTCACTGAGCTTTTCTCATTGACTCATTTGGAAAAAACTCCCAAGATTTGAAACATCTGTATAATAAAGATAATTGTCAATATCAAGCATGGTTAACATCACAAAATACAGTAAATTTGCATGCATGCTGAATGTGTTTAAATAAAACACATTACAAAGCACAAACACACGAGTTTAAGTCAGGCATAGTCCAATCACGATAAAGCTATTTGCCTAATCTTCATAGAACTTACTCTGATAGGAAGTACGGATCCGTTTCGTTAAATCTGGATAAAAGTTAGACAGGCCACGCATGCAAAAGTTGTCTTTGGAACATGCCAGTACACCAGCATCAGCAGCAGGCAGAGGAAAGAGAGAAAAAACAGTCTAAAGTGAAAGGAAGTGATATCATAACCAGCATCTAGAACAGCCAAGGTGAAGAAATTTCAGCAGATGCTTACCTTCCAATTGGGAGATACAACAAGAAAAAGAATCAAAAAAGTAAAGGATGTGGGATGGATGGTGAGAAAGCAGCTGAGGCTTTTTTTAGGTGCATAGTTTCTATGAGAAATCTAGAAATGTGTATTCCTTATCTCTAGTGGGCTCCATTCTAGCAGCGCTTCATAGCTGGAATGTTGCCTTAAAGGACTGACCAAGACTGACACAGAGACACCCTGTGTGGCACAGTGCTGATAACAGCTATTTCTACACCAGATATCCTCTGCTTTATGTAGGGAGCTCTACAGCATGTTGCCTGTGGCTAGCTGCTTAAATTACTTTGGGATCTGCTGTGAGGCTGGCTGAACCAGAGAGAGAAGTTGAAGGTAGCTTAAAGCTGCTTGTCTCTTCTCTCCTCAGCTGTGCCAAATTTACATCTTTTAAGACTTGGCACGGGTGAGAAATAAGCTTGCCGTGATTAAATGCCTAGAAAGTGAGATAAACAGACTTTCAGGAACTGAAGCAGGCCTGAAGACTTAAATTTTACTTTTTGTTTGAAGCACAAACATGTTCCCAATTTATAAAAGTTTCCATTCACTCTATGGAGAAATAGAATTTGATGATGTAGTAGTGCAGAATCTGCTGATGAAAACGCTGTTGTCACAAGACCACCATAATCTGCTGCTTTTAGACTTTCATGGTTAGATTTAAAACATTTTCAAACAGATTTTTAAATCTAATTCTAAACTCCACAGCTACATAAAACACATGTCGTAATTGTGTCTGGCTCCATCTAGGATGTTTTATGGAATATGTAGAGTAAAATGACCTGAAACATAAAAGACCTGATTTTTTTCTCATAGAAGTAAATTTTTTAGATAACCAAAGGGATATGGTATATTTTAGCTGCATTAATGGACTAATATTTCTAACACACAATGCATTAGAATAGCTGTAACTTACATAAAGGATCACAAATGTGGTCCTCTTGGCATTAAACTTTAAAATATGATAAAGTTTCAATTCATTAACAAAGTGGCTATTCTGAGCTAATGTGCATGTCTCTCAGGTGTTACCCTTCTCCAGACACAACTGCTTATTCAAATACCAATGGAAAGCACTTGGCAGAAAATACAATTAAATTTAAATTGAATTCTTACCTACCAGTATGAACTTATTCAAACCAGAAAGAAAATAGCATACAGACTACTCTTCAAGTGCCTGCCAGAGAAATAATTGACTGCTCTGCTCATTATGATTTGCTACAGGCTCAGCTGAGAGAATTACTTGCTGACCTCCATCCCCAAAGAATAAACTTCATAAAACATTTTGTTTCTGAGAACATGTCAGGTTTCTTTCATGAAGTTACAGAAATTCCACTGGCCAGCAAATAGTCATGCATTTCAAAAGCACTATAGAAAGCCACAGGCAAAAGAATCAAGGAACATAACAGGCTTATAGCCCCGATAATTCATTTCCTACCTGCAGCAAATTGCCTGCTTTTGCGAGGTGAACGGGGTTGACGTTGGTATGGATCACTTGATCCATATAGGTCAAGGGTTCCCATGCTCAGTAGTACTGTCTTCTGCATAAAGTCCACAACAGCCAAACCATTGCAGTTTCCAAATGCCACTCTGAAAAAAGAAATGTTTCTCAAAGGTATTAGTAATATGTAATTAAGTAGTGCAAACAATAATTATTATTTATTATTATGGATCAGAAACGACTCAAAGCCTTCATTTCATCATTCTTTCAGGTTTGCAATCCTCAGTTTATACGACTGTGTCATGAAACACATGAGGCGATTTTCCAGAAAGCAGACTTTCCACTTTAATCAAGTTTCTGTGCCAAATACACTGCAATAATGTCTAAATGCTGCTCTAGTGAATGGTATAATTCTAGTAATAATGATGTAAATAAAGCCTACAAATCTGGATGTAGATCTGAAAAAGTGTTTACATCTATATAAAAATATGAAAATAAAAAGAACAAATACATGTATAAATAATTATTTTAATATAAATGTAAATGATAATTAAATACATTAAGCTGTACGGTGGAGACACCCAAATCTGAAAGGTATTTATAAAATTTTCTTCCAACTCTGTCAATGTGGCTACAGTATAGATTGTTGCTAAAACAGGCTCTACCCCTCTAACGTGCTTCTACAAATGGCATTTTGATGGTGGTTTGATTCATAGGCAGGATTTTTCAACTGGTGTGAGACTGCCTGAGATCCTAACTGGAGTACGGTCATAAGGATAAAGAGTTGGAGCAATTTGTTTCTTTTGCTGCCTAGAAAGTCCCTTCTGAAGCATTCTGCCACAATTCTTCTCTATTGCTTCTACCGACTTCCTTCTGACAACAGTTTCAGAAAGAGGGAAGAAGTTGTATTGGACCAGCAGCAGTTTCTCCTCCTCTCCCATAAAAATGTTTTCTCGTCTTGCTTTTTCCCCAGCTTGGAAGGGGTGAAGATTGAGGGGGGAGAAGGAAGCACACAATGCATCTCTCTAAGGAAAACAAAAAAGGTGCTAAACATGCCTATATGTAAGACCTGGGAGAAAGCCTACAAAACCCATATAATCTCAGCAGATAGTATCTTTGCTGCATTCATTCTTTAAGATGAGGAAGCTCTTCCCTGTGAGGGTGGTGAAGCCCTGGCACAGGTTGCTCAGAGAAGCTGTCGCTGTTCCATCCCTGGCAGTGTTCAAGGCCAGGCTGGACGGGGCTTGGAGCAACCTGCTCTAGTGGAAGGTGTCTCTACCTGTGGCAGGGGTTGGAACTGGATGAGCTTTAACATCCCTTCCAACTCAGAATCTTCTATGATTCATATTCTCACTAAAGCATTAAACCTATTTAAGATTTAATATTAAAACAGACAAGCAAAATTGACTAATTTCTTTCTTTTTTAAATAATGACAAATCCAGACAGCATATGACTATTGAAAGGATCCATATGCCAAACTCCTGACACTGCATTTTTTGGAGACTTGATTTAAGCAGGAATATTACATTCTAACCATTATTCTACGGATGTCTTTCTTTTTCTATCAGACTGCAATTTAACTTCCAGATAGAACTGGGTATAGCCACAGGAAACTCAAAATCCAGAGCCAGATTCAATCAGATTAGGAATAATTTGTGATCAAGTTTCGTGATTTTATGTAAAAAGTGATTAAGATAGACAGTTCAAAGCCTTGCAAAATATTAAACACTTAGTTTTCACACTAAAAGTGAGCTCTGCACTGAACTCCACCTGACTTCTTAATATAGCTCCAAAATATCTTAAAGGAGATATATAAATTTGTGGGTGGAAAAACAGTAAGGAAAGAGAGAAGTAACAAGACGGAGGAAGGGGAAGCAGGGTAGATGATAGAATATTTTCATCTGTTGTACCTGTTCTTCCTCTGCTTCCTTTATAAAAAAAGAGGGTTCCATATAACAAACAGAAAAGGTAAAGGGAGAAAATGAGGTGAGTTTTCTCATTTATCAAACTGGGAAATTAAGGCATCATCTACAACAGTGGCTCAAATTCTACTGGTTGTTACTACACCACTTTTTGTACTCTTGATTGAACACTGACTTTAGTACAACATCTATGGCAGTATCATGAACACACTCCTTTTTTCCCCATTGACTTTTCACTGATCAGCTGCTTTAGGAGCTATTAATACACACCAGCTTTAAGTGTGTACAAATACACTTTTATTTGGCAGTATTTTATGCTTATGTGACAAGATCCAAAGGTAAACTGAGGAATAAACTCCGTAGTAGTTTATGAATGTAGAGTAATAGCTGTTTCAGAAATTACTAAAGCCTTTTTTACTTAATTTATTAATTTTGCTTAATAGCAGAACAGAGAGTTTCCCTGGGACTCTGTGACATTTGCCAGAAGATCACTCTGTGCAAGGTTTTATGTCTTCATGCTTCTTGACACAAATTGAGTAATAAAGAGTCAAAAAAATATAATCTTTTGCTATCTGTTTTAGGCATTCTTGTATTTTGCTTTAAAGCATATGTTAATAGGCATTGCCAGGGAAAGGATATTTAAGTAAAAGAGATTACTAGTGCAAACTGTGACAGCAATTCCTGTGTTCATAAGTCGCTGTGTTCTAGGCAGACAAGAGAAATAACGGACTGAAAATGAAGAGTGTTAATCTGATCTGTTAATACTTGATGGAGCAAAACTTACAAGCCATCTGCATTTGGGAAATGATTAACCTGAGATTTATTCATTTTGGAGAACATGAGTCACAAGAAGAGCTAGTGATCATTCACTGCGGCAGCAAATTAACTGGAGCATCACTTCCTGGTCTGCATTTTTCTCCTCTTAAGTTCACACACAAGCATGGGTATGATATTTCTTACACCTGAAAAAAAATACTTTCCCAAGAAAAATAGAAATTGCTTCTTAATTTTATAGCACTTCTGGGGAACAATAATAAAATCTAGACATGACATTACTAATAACGAAGCTTACGAAAAAGTGCTAAAATCCAAGCCTTTATGAAATATACAATAAGCATCATGAATTTCTCAATTTTGAGTGATGAACAGAATTACTTGCTAGGATATGTTCTATCCTGGTATCTATCTATCTATCTATCTATCTCTGTCTGTCTATATCTGGGTATCTTTCACAGAAATGTCATGAAATTCTCATCATACTTGACAGTTTTTATGTAGATTGGCCAAAAGATTTTCATCACATGCACTGGTAATACATTTAGAGGGACTGCTTTCAGTTCAAATGTACATACTTTAAACCAAATGGATTATTTGTATTTAATCTTGTAGATCTTCAGTGCTAACTGATGCATCTTGTAATTGCTTCTTTTCTCCTTTCATAACATAAGGAAGTTTTTTGGTGATTCACTTCAAGAGCAATAGAATGGGTATTCATACTTCTAGTTTATAGCTTGGCCCTTTTAAAAGTAAGGAAAATGTCTTAAATAAAGTTTCACAATGCCTGAAGACTTTTATCTTTGCTGGAGGTCAATTTTTGTTATATCTCGCTTTAGTTCTGTCATGGCTGCAGTAATATCAGTAACAGCTAGACATCAAAGAAATTAAAAGAATACTGGAAGCAAACACACTCCAGAACACACTTACTATCTTACTCCTTCCTACTAGTTAAGCTGATTAGTATAGTGAAAAAACCTGGTATGCAAAAGATGAGCCAAATAACCCTACAGACAGCAAAGCAAAAATGATACAGTCTCAAGCTTCATGCTGAAGTGGCACAGTTTTTTCACTGTGAGGCTAGATAAAAGGTAGGATTGCATCTTGCTGTAGACCCAAGGAAAAAGTTGAGAGGGGCAAGAGAGAGGGAGAGAGAAGAGATTCTGCACAAGAAATAGGCCTTTCTTTGGTAGTTTTGTGGGAAAGTTAAATTTATTTGGCTATTTTATTAATAAATGCATTTACTGCTGAAACACTCAAGTGTAACATAGCACTCTAGTGTAATAACCACAGTTAGCAAAGCACACAATTGAAAAAATTGGACTGAATGAGGTATGTGTAGGAAACCACTATGAGTGCCATGAGAACTGGAACCTGTCAGTAGTTTACAGGTATGGGAATGGTGTGATTATTCCTGAAGTCAGATGCTGCCTTAAAACTTGACATCTGCAAGGGAGCAAACTAAGCAAACCTTAACAACTGGCAAATGCATCTAGGTATGGCAAAACAAAAGAAATCCCATCCCTGGCAGTGTTCAAGGCCAGGTTGGACAGGGCTTAGAGCAACCTGCTCTAGTGAAAGATGTCCCTGCCCATGGGACGGGAGTGGAACTGGATGAGCTTTAAGGTCCTTTCCAACCCAAACCAGCCTATGATTCTATGAAACTTTTAGAGTTCATGAATAGGAAGTTGTCTGGAAATTGAAGCCAAAGACTTGACAAAACAGCCCGCCAATTACAGTATTTTTGCACAAAAGTAAAGGTCATGCATAAAATTCCCAAAGTCTCTGAAGAGAGCCAAGTGATTTACTGAAAATCAGTGGGAGTCAGATCCTTAACACCCATTACAGCCTATAGTCTTTACTGGAGTAACACCTTTTACCTGGAAAACCATTTTAATATATCTGGGCATTTCTCAGTGAGAGAAAACATTAACAATTGGCAAATAAATTGAACCCAAGGGAAAAATATACCCAGATACGCTCACTTGTATTTCCATACAGGATTTAGCATCTGAATGTTTCTTATTCCTCTTTCAATTTCAGGTCATTGGTTCTCTTGCAAACAGAAATTAGCACAGTCAAAAAAATGCTATTCTTAGAAGACAATTTTTACCTAAGATATAATGTCGTGTTAAATGACATTTAACACTTAATCACATCACTTTAATGAAATGTATTTCACGTTGGTGATCCTTTCAAACTGACTTTAAAATGTACAGATTTGAAATCAGATTTCATTTTAAAGGCTAGACAGAATAACATGAAAAGATTCAGTCTTTTAGACAGGAACAGTAAAAATACTGGCAAGAATGGCAGATTAACAGCTCATGTTCCAATCTTTATGTGAGTTCAAATAATTTTTCCCCATGAGTCTTGCTCCTAGCACCTTCTGATTATTTTTACTTTGTGGGAAACTTCAAAGTATAATTGGAAAGGACATTATCTAGTGCAATAAAGAAAAAAACGCACCCTTAATTCTGAGTTACTTACAGTCCATAAGCAGAGTTAACAGCAAGACTGGTAATCTGCTGTGGAGGCTCACCATCCACCCACACCAACTGAATAACAAGATCTGCTTGGTATCCAGGAGGCATTCGCACAGGACGAGTCTTCACGCTAGAAACAAGAGGTACAAAATAAGAACAAACAAACAAACAGAGCCATGATTAACAACTGCTTCACTTGAGAAAATACTAGTGAAGCACAGTCCCTTAATAAGTACAAAGCAGTATCAGCACTTGCAGCATACTATGCATATACCCATACATTGAAATGAGGCATTCTAATGAGAACAGGGATATTCTGGGGGAACTCCAGGGTTTGACTTTCAGGTCTGTTGTGGAAACAAGTCTTCCATGTTCCCTACAAGAGAAACTCTGGAAAAGTTGTGTGCATGTGTGGGGTAATAAAAATCTTTCATGTTTAATCATTTTGCTTATTTTCCATTTTCAAAATATTTTTTAAGGCCCTATAATGCACACTTTTAAAATCACTATGAACAATTAACCAGAATGGAAAACCTAAAATACTTCCTTCTGAAACTCTGACACAGGACATTTCTGTTCTTTTGGGACTTCCTTGCTCTGAAGTAAAGCATTCAAGACCAGGTTGGACAAAGCCTTGGGTGACAAGGTCCAGGGTAAGGTGTCTCTGCTGATGGCAGGGGGTTGGAACTTGATGATCTTAAGGTCCTTTCCAACCCAAACCATTCTATGATTCTATTACTCTATGACAGAAAAAATGAAAGAGGCAAGAGAAAATCAGAGGATGTATCTTTCTGTAGTGGTCCTCACCACTGTACATACAAAACTTACACACTTGGCAATACTATTTATCCATCTAGTGCAAACAAATGCTGTTTTCTTCTTAGCAGTATGATCACCTAGTATGTGATGTAGTCTTAATGAATGAATGCTTCCTATATAAATCTGATGTAATAATTAACACCTCTTCATATTCTGTTATGGCAGGTTCAGTGACTTGCAAAGCAGGTAGTGAACGTGTACATACTCAGGGGGAGTGTGAGAACTGAACACTTCCATATGGCTGCTTTATGCATGTTCTTGACTGGTAGAATATAACATGATGATACACTGAAAGAAGATATATGCAAAACCAGCAATACTTGAAGCATTCCAGCTATTCATTAGTACACTCCCATTGCAGGTAGCAATTTATACATAAAGCAAACTGACCAGTGCATTTTTGCTGTAGCTGTAAATGGTAAGAGTGCTTACATTGCACCCCTCTGCACACAGCCACAATAGGGCAGCCTATCACATATAATCCTCTATCCCTGTGAAAAATAGTGCCAAAAAGAAAAACTAAGAATCGGAAGAAAAAGGAGAGTAATTAGTTAATATACACCTGGACAACACATTCTGAAGAACTGCAATTTGTGGCACATAATATTTCTTTCTGCTGTAAGTGCTGCTATATTCATACATCTCTATCATAAATAGTTGAAGCAGCATTATCCTATGTACTGGATCTCAAAGAACAGAGTTTTGATGACTGATGATGCAGACTATTTCCTGAATGTGACTTCGATGTGACTCAGCAAGCTTCCCAAGCAGCCCTGGCCTGTGTACCTGAAAAGATGATGGATCAGACTGGATAACAACCCCACGTAACTTCTAGTCCGAAGCAGATAAGTAAGCACTTCTTTCAAGAGAGGATATTCAAACTCCTCATTAAAATAACAAGGGCTATTAAGTTCTTGTAGCTACACTGACTGCATCTTTTGGGATGGACGCTGTGGTGACAAACAGAGCTATTGGAAACCTTCAAAAATTGAAGATAAATGCAGAAAAAGAAAATAAAATGAAGCAAAATGTAATACTAGAATGACACCAAGGCAGCCCCCCCACCAGCAACTGGGCACCTGATACATCTTTGATAACTGCATTTCAAAATAGAATCACACCCTGTCTCAAATTGTTTAACCATTTCCATAATACAATTTGTACTGCTTGTATTTTTATTGTAGAGGCTTCACTCTCCCTGCCAATCCTTTCCCTTATTTATTATTTAATGAGAAAATCATTCCTCATCTATCTTTCTAAATGCTTTACCTTAATAGCGGCTTGGCACACTGTTCTATTCCTTTTGCTTGTTGTACAGTTCAGACCTTACATATCCATTTATCTGGAGCAGCAATGAGCCACTTGGCTCAGATCTTGTCATAGGAAAGACTTGACAGCACAGTTCAGCAAGCAGGATGCTTTCTCCTCTCCTCTCCCCCTCTTCCTCTCTACTGATTGTCCAGGACCAGTGGCCCTGTCTGGACTATCACTCTTCCCTTCCCCACTCAGGATTGCTGCAGTCACACAAGCAAAAGGAAACAACTAACAGACACAGTCTTGACCCAGACTTGAAGGGAATCTCATTGTGACAATGTGCAAATGAAGATGAAGTGTACTTTATTTGCCTAGTTAGAGACAAGAACGTAACTGCTTTCATTGTCTTGCATAAGGAGCCTTGTTACCCATGGTTGGTGACAGACTGCAACAGACACAGTAACATACAACGCTAGCATGCCAAAAAGTTATGGGAGCCAAAAAGCAGTCATAGCAGTAGTGAGGTAAGACTTTCTGAAGTGCAGGTTGACCAAGCCAGAGTAAGCACATGGTGTAGCAGTGTTGCACAAGACACCTTATTAGATCTAATAATACACGGCTCTGTCAAGCAAAAGAAACAGGAGTGCAAGTGAAGCACCAGCTGAAGCAGCTGGTGAAGGAATCAAACAGTTTACTGTTAGATGTGTGATGTCTTTCACAGTCATCTGCAACTTTCTCATGTCCTGCAGCCTCCACAAACTTCATAGGCCTATCAGAGTGTATTTATTCTACTAAGGGTATGGGGTCACAACTTTGGGTAACACGTTACCTGGATCCCACCGCAGAACATATACAGGATTTCAGGATGAGGAACGAGACCTTCACTTGGATTTCCAAGACATGAACATCTCTCCCCTTCATGACCCTGTGCAGCTCTACCTTTTCCCCTTTCAGACTGCAGAAGTACAGAAGTTGGCGAGGTTTTGGAAGTGGAGGGCAGAGGGGACCACTGAAAAGAGAAGCCGGGGCTGCTCCATGCATGACAGAGCCTCATTCTACCTGGTTCCAGGTGTCTGTGCCACAGACCCATGGCAGGATGCAGCTGAGCCCCTCGACCAAGCAGGTGGCATCTCTGGGAAAACCAATTTAAGAAAGGGCAGAAAACGCTGCCTGGGAGCAAGAAGTGAGGGGGAAAAAAATGTGAGAAACAGCAGCACAAGTACCAAGGTGAAAGAACCAAGGAGAGGAAGTGCTCCAAGTACAGGAGCAGAGATTCCCCGGAGCCCATGGAGAGGATCACAGTGGAGAAGATACCCATACTGCAGCCCTTGGAGGACCCTATGGTGGAGCAAGTGGCTATTTCCTGAGGGAACTGTGGCTTCCAGAGAGCCCATACTGGAGCAGGTTTATCCTGAAGGACTGTACCCTGTGAGAAGGACCCCACACCAGAGCAGGGAAAAGTGTGAGGAGGAAGGAATGGCAGAGAGGAGAGGAACTGCGACATCCTGACCGCAACCACCACCCACCATACCCACTGCAGTGCTTGGTGCAAAGGAGGGTGGAAGGCAGGTGTTTCAGTTGCTGGTTTTGATTCTCACTCTTATTTTAATTGTCAATAAATGATCCTTCTTTTCCTCGAGTATGCTTTGCCTATGACAGTAACTGGTAAATGATCTTGTTCTTGTTATGCTACACTGATTCTGGTTGTTGCAAAGCCTTGGGTTTTAGTTTTCTTCACGAGATAATCACAGGCCTTTATAATTTTGGAGCTACAGTCAAAACCCTTGATTGAATTACTTTTGGGATGATACACTTAATGTCTGGGAACAAAGACTTGCATTCTGGGTACAGCCTTTTGATGACAGTATTTACATCACAAATATTTATCTGCATAAACACAAATACATCAATTTCTTAGGTTATTATAGCTGCATATCTCATTCTAAAATCTCCTGAAATAAGCAAGGAAAGTATTTATTCCACACTGCTGCATGCCTCTCTTGGAAACATTTACTTTTGAGTTCAGAAGAATGCCATATTTTCAATACTTCAGCCCCTTCAATCACTTTCTTTCTAGTACCTATGTGCAGACACAAACATGTTCAGTCATTCTGAATTCTGAGTAGCCAAAATTACATTGAGTGCCACCCATTTCCTCTAACAAGGTTGAGAAGCAGATATGAAAATAAACACAATGGAGCCAAGATTAAAAGCTAGTCCATATATAAAATTTTATGTAGATTATAATCATAGTTCAAGTTATGCACTCACCCTGCATGTGTAGGTGGCTGCAGCTTTAAGTTATTATTGCTGTATCTTAGATGCTGTACTGCTGCCCACCTGAATGACTTGCATATAAGGTCAACAGCATCATCCAGGTTTCTAGTGGGGTTTCTGTGTTTCCAGCACTACTTCCATTTTATCATCAGAATTCTGCTTAGAACAGAGGTTTTCTGACACACAAGGAATGTGGACCCACTTAGGGTTTGGAAGAAAAGTATGGATATTTATATGCCTTTCCCCATTGGAAAGGATGAGAGTGTACACATTTTATATAAAGCTATATTTTATATAAGCTATAAGAGTGACCATGCCAGCAGTTCTAGTAGTAAAATTATTTTTACTTTGAACAAATCACTTCTCTGTCAAAGTAAGTTTTCACTTACTTTGAGTAAAATGGGACAAAAATCAGCTGGCAGCTTAAGGTGAGGTTACGTGGAGATAAGCAAACTAACCAGTGGAACCTCTACTGTTTCATTACAGATCTTCTGCCCCCAAGGTAAACAATTCCTCTTCTCCCCAGACAAAATCAACTAAGAATCCCTTAAAGGAAAAATCACAGCCACTGAAAGAATCAATTGCATTCTTGCTGATTTCAATGCCATAAATGGATTTCTCATTGGGATTTTTTTAATAACTTCTCTTTGCTTTTTGAAATGATTTTCATGGTTTACATTAGGATTAAACTGAGGTCTGTGGTTCAACTGCCTGACTGAATGAGGGGGAAACATAAACAGGATGCCAAAAAGTATTGTTAATTTTACAGGAACAGGGTCACGTTATTACTTTTCAATGCTAATGCTGTTTTCAGGAGCTCAACAGCCCAAAGTATCTGCAAAGTCAGGCGATGTTCATTTAAACTGCCTTTGAAATAACTGAGGCATTTAAAATATTTAATAATAATTAGACTGAAATAATAATAAATTCATTAAAATGAGAGCAATTGTTATCAGCAATGCACTATAATTGCTGCAAAATTATAGTTTATGGATTTCTGTACAGAATTCTGGTTTGAGTCTATTCAAACCTATAATTTATCTGCCTTATTAGCAAGAATATATCAATCTACTCCAAATGTACTTTAGCAGACAACAATTTGCTTCTTTCTAAACTCGTGAGATCCACTAGCAGCACTGTGTACAATTCTGGTGTCCTCAGCATAAGAAGGACATGGAGTTGTTGGAGCAAGTCCAGAGGCCATGACAATGATCAGGGGCTGAAGCATCTTCCATATGATGGCAGGCTGAGAACACTGGGGCTGTTCAGCCTGGAGAAGAGAAGCTGCGTGGAGACCTTATAGCAGCTTCCTCTGTCTGAAGAGGGCCTAGGATGCTGGAGAGGGACTCTTCATCAGGAACTGTAGCGATAGGATAAGGGGTGATGGGTTCAAACTAAAACAGGGGAAGTTCAGGTTAGATATAACAAAGAAGTTCTTTACTGTGAGGGTGCTGAGGCGCTGGCACAGGCTGCCCAGGGAAATGGTAAATGCTCCACCCCTGTCAGTGTTCAAAGCCAGGCTGGACAGCCTTGGGCAACTTGGTCTAGTGTGAGGCACCCCTGCCCATGGCAAAGTGTTGGAACTGGAGGATCTTGAGGTTCTTTCCAACCTAAAGTATTCTGTGATTCTATGCTTCTATGAAACATTAAACATACATGTACACTTCTACACAGTGCATCTTTTTCAGAATTGTATAATTTATAGATTTTTTCATGTCTATGAACAAAGTTTCTATCCCTTACCTACCATAAAATGCATATACTTACTTCACAAAGAAAGATTTTAGTGTTATGCTGAGTAGCCAAGGATAGGAAGCTTTGCATGTGTCAGCTTTATGGAAATCTCTTTGTAACCTCCAAAAAAAGGTTGCTCAGAAATGTGTCAACGTGTGCTGCAGTGCTTTCATTCCATTCCAAATCACAAGTATGAGGTGAAGATTTACTCCTAGATAATACTGGAAAATTACAGCCAAGCCTTTACTGTAGCAGTTTATCTTCACGGTTACTTCTGGCCTTTCAAAATCCCTTGTTGATTATTGCCTCAATCATTTTGTTTGTTCCATATTCTGATCTCTTCTCATTTTGTGTTGCATACATACGATTCATCATTTGCTTGATAGTTGATGGATTGTTAATACAACAGATAGGAATGCTTTTTAGAAAGATAAATCTTTGAACAACAGCACAGACTTACCTAAGACATGGGATGCTATCCTTCATCGTTCCTTCACATGTGACAGTGTTGGTACTGCCTGAAAGGCTCTTTAAAGAAGGAAGCTGGGAGGAGGCATCTGGAAATGAAGGAATCATTTCTGGTTCAGGAGTAATGATATCTTCTACTTCAGACTGAAGTCGTACCTCTAATGACTGAAATAAAGAAAAAGCTCAGTTACAATTTAATAGAGAAAACTGCTGAAAGTTCAGTTACATTCAAATAAATATCAGCCAGCTTTTGTTAAAAAAATAATATACACTCCCCCCATTTATCATTATCATTTGCAAGTGAAGAACTGTCAGCATCAGAGAGGAAGCAGTCATCTACCCTATACTGATGGAGAAATTTTGTGCTGATTTCTTCCAATGATGGCTGTGATGCAAGCCTTTTGCTGTATGTGAAAGGCAAGAATACAGCTTTCCAGAACTTATTATGAAAAGAGAAGTTGATCATTCCTACACACACACTCCCTCTCCCAGTAATATTTTAGCATAAGAAGGCACCATTCAGGAAAACTTTCTGCCTATTGTCTGTTGTCTTTTTCCTAAGCACCTAACTCTGCCTCTTGATTGCTTGTATAACAAGGTCTCTGCAAGACAGGGTTTAGCCAGCGTTCAGGAGTCTGACAGTGTGGGTAGTACTGATGAATGAACATTTGTCCATGGGTAGGGGTCAGGAAATCAGTGGTAAGAACACCAAGAGTTCAACTCTTCAGAGGACAATTCCTCAGACTGAACATGAGTTTGGCAGAAAGTGAAGTTCAAACCAGTTCCCCTTTTGCTTTCCTTCTGGGCTCTCTAGAGACAAGGAGACCAGCCCGGCTGAAACACCTTTTCATTCTTTGCACTAGTTCAGGAAACCTTAACAGAAGGACTCCAAAACACAAAGGAAACAGGACAGGGAGCTCAAATCCATAGAAGTAACCACCTCAAGTAATCACAGTAAATACTGGGCAATTCTACCTCATGAATTGCCCAAGGAGATCCCCATTTTGCAAAGAATAAAAAACAAGGTACAGTCCTCAAAGAAGGTCTTGGGATTGTGAGTTGAACAGTGATTTCAGCGCTGGCACCCTGAAGTGATCAGAAGCAATAGCAGATATAGATACTGCAAACTCCATCTTAGTGATCTCTCACTGAGTAACTGTCAGTAACAGAATAGAGCTTAAGAAAATACCTACTTTCAATGAGAATCAGGAGATAAAGATCAGTTCTGAAAACTCCCCTATTTCGCAACCACCATGTTGAAACACAGAAGATTTCAGAAGAAGTTATTCTGCTCAACCATGGCAATGACTCTAAGGTTGGATATAAAGCAGAACTGGTCTCATGCACATTACTTGCCTCCAAAATCTGATAGGGAATGATGCAAATAATATCTCTATAGAGGAAATCCCAGCACAGCCTATGCTTCTAAGGCATAGCAGCAGACTTCCTGCTACATGCAGAAACCTTTGCATAGCCTCCATGCTTCTCATTTACCACAGCAGTAACATTACAAGACTGACATCCAAACCGACACGGAGTCCTTAAAATGCTGGGATTCATAGATTGAATTCAAGGTGACTTTGGGCTGCCTGCTAAAGAAGGAAGTACACTAAGTGCTAGAACCTGGGCTTGCCTCAGGCAGCAAAGAAGTCCTTGAGACTGATAACTCAGACTCAGTGTAGACAAAGCCAGACAGCCTAAATTCAGGTACATATTCAAACAAAGCCTCCCATACTTTTTCTTGACATATTCCCCCCCCCCCCCCCAGTAGTGAAGATTTGAATGCCTGCAGGAAAAATGTGGGGACAAAAGGAGATAACACCTATCTCAGGGATCCAGGAGCACTCAGTGACTATGATCAGATATTAAAGCAACTCTTCAGAGAACAATTCCTCATATAAATGCTTCTTAATTACAGCTGAAACCTGAGAAACTGTTAAATGTGCACATATTAACACTTCAGAAAACACCGGTTCTGATGCAATTCAGCCACAAAAGACAGCAAAATAAAGAAATTAAATTATAGGTAATAAAAGGTAAGGTGCATTTGCTATGGAACAATGTAAGAATACTGAAATGTAGTAATTTTAGCAGCATTATACATGAGCTGGTCAGTGATATTACTGTTCATTAGTTTTAAAACTTCCTTGAAAGGATACATTCAGCTAGCTTCATAATTGCCTCGGAGGGGAAAAATAAGAGGAGAACAATGGAACAGCTACAGGTAATGAATTTCTTTACCAGATGGCACATGGCTACAGGCCAAAAGTGACAGACTTTCTGAAGTACATTAGAATACTATGAAATGGAAAGGAACTGTAGTCAGGGAAGGTGGGAAATGAAAGCAACATTTTGGGTCAACTTCTGGGGTTTGTTGAGATCTGGCAGACACAAAAAGATACTTTCTGGCAAGAGAGTGTCTGGAGCTGCAAACCATTCTCCAGAATCAGAGAATGGCAAGCTTGAAGTAGAGGCAGTCATGTTTAGTTTGGCTTTGCCTTTAGACTGGTCTCCCATAAAGACTAAAACTTAAGTCTCCTCTTAGACTTAAGAACGAATGTTTTGCGCTATAAATCCTGTTCAGCCACGCTGTTAGCAGTGGTTGTGGCTCCTGTGCAAAAAACCAAGGTTTAGACCAAAGTCAGACTTGCTGTACAACAGTAAGTTGAAGGTGACTGCAGAGCAGTTGAGAGAATGTGAACTGTATGATTCTACCTGAAATAAGGGGACTGCTTAAGATGTGCAGACTGAAAGGAGTATTTGAGCAGGATAAAGCAACAGAAAACCAGGGATGATTTTCAGTTCCCCTGTAGTATAAACACTATGCACATAATACATGATTTCATAGATGAAATACTGGAGTTAAAAAGACCATTATTACATACAATCATAATGTAATCTGATAAAAACATACAGCAGCCAGTATTTTTAGAGCAGTAAAGTACAACAGACATTTACTGTGTCATAAAGTCTTAAAAGCAAATTATGTCTGAAATCTGTACTGTATGATACTATTAAAGCAAAAAAGCAGAGAGTTGGCTCCCAAAAACTCAGATTTTTGTCACTAGCTTAAGTAGGATCACAATTTCACTCAGAAGGTTTAAAATGGAATGTTCCTCAACCTATATTTAAGCAGCTTAACGTTAATTTTATTCAGGTATATGATCACAGACACAGCCAGGCAATTTGCTTTAGAAATGATGTTCTTTTATAAGAGAGTAAAATTCTGAAGGACTTACTGCAATTTCAGTATTTACTTCATGTTTGCTGAACCTGTAAACAACCACATAGGCAGAAACTCCTGCCACACAGAAAATTCGGCTTTCAGGACACCAGTACATCATCTGAACAGCAAATGGGTCTTCTTCCACAATCTCAGCCGTTGCTTTTCCTTCTCCCACTTTCTGTTTTTCAAAGACCTTTGATGTTTTTAATTTGTACAACATCTGTAGAGTAACTGGAATATATTAAAACATAAAAAATACTGACTAACATGAAACAAGTAAGCTACAAAATTCCTAGGTTCTCATTTCTGTTCAGTTCTGGCATAATAAAATGTCTTATGAAGACCTACAAGGAGAAGATGGGCATTGTACAATACAGATATTACTTTGGTGTGCAGTACTGGTAGGATGTGTATTTGATAGTTCAAAATGGGTATTTGTCTCTGAAATACTTAGTACTTTCTGGGACAGGATGTCAACAGTGTATGTTACCCATTATGTCCATAATTATTGGTCTTATATCAAAGCTATAGTGAGGCTCTGACAAAGCTGCTATTTTCCTAATGAGATGTGAAACTAAGATTTTGGTACAAAATAAAAACTATGTGGCACTTCAAAAGTAACCATTAGGGAAGCATTCTGATGGCCTGGACAACACAACAGACAGGAGCTCCTTCTGAGTTCTATAATGTTTTGAATATCCTGACTAATAAGTATAGTCTTTCTACTTGTATAAAAACCCTTAATATCTAGAAGCCTTTGCCAAGACTAGAACTTGAGTGCCTTGAAGTCTGGAGGTAAAGGAAGGATTATAAGTAACCCTATTTCTTATTACTGAGATTCCTCCCTGCTTTTTACTACTTTCACATTCATTTCTCAGTGGCATTATTTAATAACTGAGTAAGGTCAGAAAAGTGGGTTTTTCCCTAATTTAATAAAAATTTGCTTAATTTCACCTCATTATTCCTAATAGTATAATTCCCAGGTATTACTACTCCTACTGTTAAATATCATGTTTTATATATATACACATGTGTGTTATTTGTCAGCATTATATAGAAGTGAACTTTAGAAACTTACTGGCAGAAGCATCCCAAAACTTTACTGATCCATCTGCATGGCTTAAAGAAAAGATGAAAATTAAATGTGTTAAAACAAGAAGGAAACAGCATGCACCATAGTTGAATAACTTTTGTTTTAAAAGACTGCTCCTTGAAAATCCATCAGGCATTGTTCATGGGGCTTCTATTGCAATCTGAGCCTCTCTATGCCTTTTCACTATGGATTGTCTCTCCACTCACAAGGTGAAATTCATCCCAGTTCTCCACACCCTCACTAACGCCAGGGTATTAAAAAGAATTCCTAAACTGTCTCCAGATACAAAGTCCCCAGGAAGGCCAAAGGACAACAGCTATAGAAGAGCAGCTGCTCCCTTTTTCAAAGCTGTTCCTTACGCCCTTCAAGGCCAAAATACTCTCTTGCAAAGGATTCTCATTTCCAAAGACCCCACCTTCACAAGTATATAAACTTTCTGTCTAACCCTGGGGCCTCAAATGGCAATTCTTAATGGTAGCTCATCCCCAGAGACAAAGTTTATTTTCTACAGCAAATGGGATGTCTCAACACAATGTCTGTGACGACTCAACACAAGGAAAAAACTATGTACCTCAAATGAAAAGGCCAGGCTATGCATACTTTGTGAAGGGTCAACTCTTATCTATAGCTAACCCGCAATCAAAAGTTGTAGACACTAACATTTTAAAAGTAGCAATCCTCAGTTTCATTCTCACCCTGTAATAATGATTTCAGGATATGTCTGAGCTCCAAGATTCCATGCTCCACCACTGACAGGCCATTCCTGAGCAAACAACAAGAGTACAGATATCACAACTAATTCTGATCAATCTTCCTTGGTTAATTTTTAAACTCGGGAATAGACAACATCTTTCTCCAAAAAGCAATAGAACTCACAAAAGGCATTCAAGGCTTTTAAAACTTATTTATGTTTTTATATTTTCAATAAAGGCTTTTGAAACAATAACATTTTAATATTATCAGTTAAAGTTCTATGCTTTAGAAGTATTTCTGCAGAGCTAACACTCAAAACCCCAAAACAGGAACTACAGGAAGGAGTATCAAACAGTTCTGCTACTCTCTTCAGATGGCTTGACTCTTGGAGTTTCTATAGAACACCAGATAGACTGAGGATTTATTTTGAGGATGAAGATTACTGATGAAACTCGTCCAGAAACAAGTATCTGAGCATGATGCCATGAGATAGGAGACAAAGGAATGCAACTTTTACAAAACATATGAAATCAACATCTCCTCTCTGCCTTTTGTTTACTTGTGGGAAGAATTCCATTCTCTTCCTTGGTCTAGGCTGGTAGAGCGAAATGCTGGTCTGTGCCTAAAGCTTGATTTGTATGGACACCAGATAGAGGAGGTGGAGGATGACATGTGTGTAGAGTGGGGTGGGGGGAGGATGTGTGCAGAGTGTGAATAGGTGGAAAAATCCTGGGAGCACAAACTGGTTGTGTGGATACGCGGAGTGGATGCTTGTGGGTACAGAAATGGGTGGGTGGCAAATGAGAGGATACCTGCATTCAGAGGATAGACTTGTATGTGCACAAATAAAGCAAGGGGACAAGAAGGCATGCAATTGAATACAGGTAGGTGGTGAAAGTTTCAGAAACTATGTATATGAGGTAAGGATAGGAAAGCAGACAAATTCAAGTAAAGAGAGAAAAAGAAGTCTTTTCTGAAGTACTCTGCTGGATCAAGATCCAAAAAGTAGATAAAGCCCAGTTTCTCAGTTCAGAGAAAACAAGGCAGCTCCAAGGAGAATAATTCTGTTAGCATGAGCAGAAAACTGATGATGTCCGATTTGTTTACCCAATATACTTTCTAATTTATTTATTATGATGGATTAGTTCTAGTCCAAACATAAACCAGATTAAGGCTTGAAATTTATAAAATAATTGCATTTCCTTTTTATATTTCTGCAGCTTGTCCCATTTCTAAAAGCATTTTGTAAAGACTTTGGTAGCCCAGTAGAATAATTACGAATATCCCTATTTAATAAAACTCTTACAGACCTGCTGCCAATTCTCAACTTTCACTGAAGATTTTCTGCTGACTTCTTCCAGTTATAGTGTTTTCAGTTTTTTCTTTGATAGAGATAACTTATCCATATGTATTTGAATTGTACACTGATAGCTCTCCTTTAAGTCAATCTGGCATAACTCCAGCACCCTAACGATTAAGTCCTATGTAATGGTTATTAACAGTTGTGCTTAATAGATGATGTTTTTGAGGGATAAGTACCAGGCTATAAGCATGCTGCTAAGCTGCTTGTTGGACCAACTTGAAAGTAGTCATTAAAGAAGTAAAATGAAAATAATTTGGTAAAATGTTCCAAAAACATAGGTAGCACTTCCACTTGTTTCTCCTTATGGAAAGATTGGCTTTGCTTACCTTATTGCTGTATCCTTGCTTTTTATGTTTTGCTCCTACAGAATAGAGCACAGGAATCAAATCTGGAGGACAGTCCGCAAAATATTCTGTGCAGGTAACAGGTGACTCATGAATGTCAATAGGATATGGATTTTCAAAGATTGGAAAACTAGTTAAGGAAGACAATTTATTAGAAGCACTGTGACACACTGAGCCATAGAATAAAACATATTCTTATATTAAAGTGTGTAACAGAATCTAAGTAAAATCAGTACTAATAAAGCACATTTCCCCTTAACTATTAAAACGTGCATTGTTTTTTATGTCAATAATAATGTATAGTTACTCAAATAAAGATACAAAAATTTCATTAGTGTGACAAGAATTGTCTTGTAACATAAATACCCATTGATGTGAATAGAACTCCTTGTGTGAATGTACTAATTAGGAACTCATTTTTCCCAACATCTCAAAAATCTGATTTATACAGAACTGACACATTCTTTAGAAGCTTCAGGTCGATGCATATGATACATACTATGACCTAAGAACTACTTATAGAATCACAGATTTTACACTGAGCAGCTTAGCTCATTAAGTTGGTAGATTAATGATTCTACAGTAAACAATTGCAGTAACAGATGATCTCCTACTTTCATCAGTCTGGACAGTCTGATAAGAAGGGAGGCCTCGCTTCTGGCATATCACACAATGTTATTCACAATTCAAAAATGTATGACATTTGGTTCTGATTTCAGTTCCATCCATTTTGTATGCTAGGATTATATGAAGTATTCTTGAAAGCGAGATCAGAATATGAGTCACTTAAAATGTTCCAAGACATTAAGGGCAAAATCTGTTCCTAGTCACACCACTGTGAATGTGGATGTACACTACTGGTAGTGTTGGAGGTAGAACAAAATAAATAAGCATCAGATTCTGCATTACACGATGTATAGTTTCTTTTTGATATGAATACTGATTCTGATGTGAAAGAACTAGTTGCCATTTAAACCACTAACTAGATCATGAAATAATCCTGTAGATTCACTATAAATCAATGCCATTTTTTATTAAGATACTGAAATAAATACTTCAGTGGTAGTCTCTGTGAAGCCCAATGAAGTTAGGCGTGCATATAAGTAGTAATTGTATCTGATTTCCAAAACACACATTCATGTCATAATTCAGCATGTGACCAAATGTTACTTAACTTCACTGTTGAGTGAAGGTTTGAGGGTTATGTTAAAAGGACAGTACATTCAAATTTATTCCCCAAATTAAGAACAAATATTGTTTGTTGATTAGCTGACCTTGGCTCTTAAGATGGAGGTAAACATACAGAGTGAATTATTACCAGGAGTGAATGATCTTGGACAGTAAATGACATTGCATGATAATATTTGGATTTTTATTACAATTTCTTGGACAGTTAAGATACACAAGTAACTTCAGATAATAATTTATACTTACTTGCTTTGTGTCAGGTCAACAACAATGAGGTCTTTTTCCAAAAGCACAACTACAGCATAGGGTTCTTGAAATTCTGTAAGTAAGGAATCAAACATAAAGACATGGAGTTCTCCTATGTATTAGTAATTTTAAGCAAGTAAGTCATATTTAGGTTCTCTAAACATTCACAGTGTATTAAGCAAAAGTTTTAAGGTACAAACCCTAGACATATCCACAAACTAGACATACCTGCAAAGTAGGGCCAGACAGGAACTGGGAAATGACTTTTGGCTAGTACTGCTGATCAACATATGCAACAGAAACAGAATCAGCATATTCTAACATGCCAGCATGATGGTATGTTGAAAGTAAAGAAATAGAATATGAGTAAGTTGTGTGTATCACTGCATTGCTGAATCCAATTATTATAGAGAAAATGTATTTTTGCTGTCCAGTAGTAACACTTCTAACTGTTCTTCAAAACCAGCTGGTCCAGTCCACTTGATGATAGACCATGCCTTCACTTCTAAAGCAATTCCAAAGGAATCCTGTAAGTCTGCTGTGTTCAATTCAGGTACTGATACGTTCCTTCCTCCCATACACTCTTAAGTAGATTATATTGTTTGTTTATTTAATGCCTTTTTTCATTTATCAAAAATAAACAATTAAAATGACAAATGAATGCATCCCTTGGTACATAGGGCGTGTTAGTTTACAGAGGAGAAAAGTGATTTTAAAAAGTATGCAAAATTATGACTCCTCCTTTGTGGCCTCTTTATACAAGGCTATGAATAACACAGGTTAATCCCCCATTTTTAAATATTAGTGTATAAGCAGAGGAAGGGGCTACAAAATCTTAGTAGTGTCACTTTATTTGACACATTTTAGCAGTTTAATTCAGGCTGAAGTGCAAGAACTTTTTTTGCAGATAAGTGATACTTTAATGTTCTATAATGTAGCAATCTGTAGATTTTAAGCCTCATGGAAAACGTCAGAAATATAAGCACATATTTGATTAATAGCAATATTTCCTCACACTAGCCCATGTGTTTCAAGCTTATATCTGGAGATACATGCATGCTTTATTGCCCACTCATTACTTGCTTCCTATATTGAGAATGCAAACAGGTTCCAGTTACTTTCAGTGCTGTGGTTTTCTTGAGGTGGAGACAACTGTGAGAATGGAAGTCCCTGGAATGGAATTAAGGTATGAGAGAAGATCACTTCATTTATATTCTCCATAACAGCATTCTGCTTAATAAACTCACCATTTGGATATGGGGTTTCACAAAGAGTTAAAAAATCAACTATAGGATGATCCATTTCAAGAACTGTAATTGCTTTCCCATGCATGATTGTTAAACTTGGTCTTCGACACGCCTTATCATATGACAATCCACCAGAAAATATCACAAATGGTTCACTGTATTAAAAAAATGAACATAATTAGTATAAGTTTACATAATAACATGCAAATTTACATTACAGGTTTAATGCCTTTAAACAATAATAAATTTATTTGTGAAAAGAAAGTGTGAAAGATTCTAAAAGGACTTTAATTTAGGAATGTAACACGGAGTTAATTACAGAAAGAAAACCATACCTGTTTTTACAGGTCTTGTACTCTACTTTCAGAATTGGTTTACAAGATTCAGGTTTTTTTCCATCTCTTTGAATTTTTCCTGAGGCAAGAAAGAAGATGAAAACTGCATTAAAACATCACGATAACAGGACTATCAAACTAAAACATATGCATTGAAGCAGCTGTATAAACAGGAAGAAAATGAACTTCAAAGCCACAGAAGATAATGGGCACTAGCTCCTACTTCCATAAAATATGCATTTGTCTAAGTTAATTATATTTGTTGTGACTTTTCTGTTTTTACTGCCACAGACCATACTTCAGAGACATCTAAACCCCATGCAGATTACCGAGGATGACACTGAAGTAATAATTAATGAATTACACCAAATGCACATGTTTTTTTCTGAGCACATTATGAGCATAAACACCTTAATATTTTTTTTCTTAAGCCACTCTTGGATTGAAACAATTCCTTTTGTTGAGGAAATGTTACATTCTTTGGAGTGTAACTCGTTGAGTGATACGTACAATTGAAATTCATGGGTTCTTTGTTAATTCTGGCTCAGTACTTCTCGTCAAGGGAAAAGTCATTTGTAAACCAAAAACCCAACAATCTAGTTTGGTTTTTGTTTGTTTGCTTGTTTAGCTTGAAAAGCCTGTACTTGCCTTCAACAACAACCTGACTGAAGGATAAAGCATAGATGGAGCCAGACTGTTCCCAGAGGTGCACAGTGACATGACAGGAGGCAAAGGACTCAAGTTGTGAACTGGGAAATTCTCCTTTGATGTTAGCATTTGTACCATGAGAGTCATTAAATGGTAGAAGATGTTTCCCAGAGACAATTTGTCATTAGAAGTCTTCAAGTATCCAGCATCAACTGGACACTGCCCTGAGCTAATGGATCTAATCAGGCCTGTTTTGAGCTGGGGGACCTCTGAGAGATCCCTTCTGACATAAAGTACAATTCTACAGCTAAAAAAGATAAAAGGAATTAGCAATTCAAGAAAATGCTAACACTTTCCTGGGCTACATAGATCTTGCTTTCTCTTTCTTCCTTTCTCTCCCCTAGTCTGGCTTCTTGGTAATGTACTCATTTGCAATAGATTCAATACCTTTTTACCTCATTTATAGGAAGCACTGATATATAAAATCCCAGCCATAAAAGACACAGGCATTTCTAAATACAACTCCTTTAAATTCTTCTTTGCAATGACTTGGGAAGCCTTGTACCATCTCTACAGCAAGCCACACAGTGCCCGGTACAAAATGTATTGATACTCGTGAAAATTGCACATACAAGTATGTAAGTACAAAATATAAAAGAAAGGAATGTGACAATCCCATAGCCCAGCAAACCCCAAAGACCAGCAGTAGGCTCTTAAGATGAACTGGATAAAAGAAGACTTTCGAGCAATATTATCCAGTAAGAGGTATTTATGATACCATTTAAAACAAAGTTTGATCAAAACTGTTCTCTGATTTTTATATTTTGAAGCTGCTTTGCAAATTAAAATACTTATGCAAGAAGCAACTCTGGATGCAATAAAAAAATGAAATAAACACAGTTATTAGCAAACAGCATGGGGAATATTGTATTGTTTCTTAGCTATACGTTTTAACTATCAAAATTACCATGTGGAATCGTGGTCTGGAATGGTCTGTTAGGACTTTTCAGATTCCATAGGGTCAAGCTGCCATCAGAGTGACTGCACATGAACTGTTTTCCTTCATGATGCCAAGCAACAGAATGAATAGCCTACAGAAATGAAAGAAGAACTTGAAACTGAAATGAAATACAGTGTTTACACTAATGGTATTTTCACGTATGACTTTGGATTATATTAATCTAATGGTATATCAACACTCGGGCAGGTCTTGTTTGTCTGAAGTCCAGTACTAGTGTGTTTTAGTAACCAGTGGCTGTAACCACCTGCTAGTCAAATAAAACAATTCATTATAAATGCTGACATAACACAAGAATGGAAGAAAGCCGATACTGAATCAGACCAAACTTGAAGGAACAGGCTGTTAAGGTAAAACTATAAGAACAAGGGACATACACTGCAGTCGTAGTATGTCTGATCTCATTTCAGGTGGCAAACATACAGGAAACTCTGTGCAACAAGTTTCACAGGTAACATGCAACACCTGCAGTCTTCCCCAGATGACTGTAGAAACAGTACTCTGGTCTTGAATATTCCCCCCCCTTCTCCCCCATAAGTTTCAGAGCAGAAACACAGAAATCTAGGATGTTGAATATAAACCCAAAACCACTAGAGAGACCAGGATTGTTTAATTCGTATAGGAAATTACCAAAACAATGATGCAAGATACTTCTGGAACAGACAGTGCTTCAGAAAAGAGGGATATCACACTCCAATGTACTCAATGCAAGTACCACATGCTGAATGTTATCTATGCCAAAAAGCAACACTTCAAAAATTCATTTTGTGCATAATTAGTGGAAATGACTGGAAATATCCATAATTACATCAGACTAGCTGAAAGGATAATGGTGCAAGTCCTTCCTTTTCACTGGTTTGTGCTGGAAGCTAACAAAACAAGGGCATGTGGTGACAGAAATGTAAAGCCCTCTTCTGTCAAAACAAAGTATTGGTTCATTGCATACCACAGTTTCTCACACACTCCCCTCAGAAGCACAAACTGACAGGATTTTCCCTTGAATCCATTTCCCTTCCAGAGATGTGAGCTGCCAAATAGCAAACCCCATAATATATTTGTATGTAAATGTAAATAAGAGACCTATTTTTGAATGCAGTTTAATAAATTTCCATTTTTTTTGCAAGCCAGTAAACGCTAAGGCCTTGCATGCACTTACAGTTGCATCTGGGCATTTACCTGATTTATTCTAATCACTTTAAAATCATGCCTGGGTATTCATAAGTCAGCACTGGAGATGTTCGTATCAATTTTGCTTAAGCTGACAAGAAATAAACCTAAGTGCTCCTGCTCACTATTCAGAACTCCCTGTTGATCTTCCCTTTTAATCAGTATATTGATTGTTATGGTTGGTAACAACTTATGGTCTGGAGGGAATATCAGAATACATCAATGAAGAAGCCGAGACCCTTTACCAATACTTTGCTCATCTGCTGAGGCTGGACAGCACAAATGGGCCTTTGCATTAAGATGACCCAGATGTTTTAATGGAAATCTGACATCCCTTGTATATGAATGCTTTGCTAATGCACTAGGAAGCTAGTCATGCCAATAAAAACTCAACAAACAGAGCTGAGCAAATACTCTAAATATTTATCTTTGAGTGACATAATGGGTGTCACTCAAACTTCTACCTTCCAAAGGGTATTCGACACACAGTTCCTCTTACGGACCCAGAAGATGTCAAACTATAACTGAAGCAACAAAAGACAATGCAGAAAGATGCTTCATACAGGGCCCATTGCCCCCAGGTAGTACAAACCTTAGATCTGTGGGGCGCGCTGCTTCACTTACAGTATCTCCTCATACAAATTAATCCTGACATGAGCTTATTCATGCTTGCTCCCATACCAAATTTGAATCTGCTTTTGATGTGTTATCACACATAGAAACATTTCACATGGTTGCAGTCGCTAACTGTGTCTGAGCAGGAGCTAGTAACTAGTAGCTGAAAATTGTACCAAGCTGCTTGTTAAGCTGCCTCTCAGTTACTAGGTACCACCTGCCAGCATAAACCTCCTGCTGAGTGCAGCTGAGGTGGGATGCTCCTGTCACAGACAGTTGGCATAGCAGCAGCTCAACTCACCTGTTAGACTTTGCCCTGAAACAGGCAAGAAATACTTGGAATGGCTTTCGGAGGTCTCAGCTGGGAGTCACGACTAATACTGAAAGGTGGTTTTCTCTCTGCTAGAATGTGTCTAGCATTCTAATCCACTTCTTTAGCATACACACAGAAAAGGAGCAGTTATTTTCTTAGAACAGGAGTTCATCATGGTGGGTGACTCATGTGAATGTTCACACAGTGTATGCACATAAAGCATATCACTCCAGATTGGGTACATTTCTCCTTCTGCAATACCCACAGTGGTTGCACACATATTCCATCTTCTCTCATACTCAGCATGTACTAAAATTAATCACGCCCAACACCATTTCAGTTCCTTCCCAACCACAAACCTCCTCCACTGAAAAGAACTCATGGGAACTCTAAGACCATTTTTAACTATCTCTTGAAAAAGCACCATACTAATCTCATTCTATTGCTTGAATCTTAAGAACCCTTTATGTTAGCAGTACTCATTAGAGACTATTACAAGGCTACATCCGATTTGATACTTCCATAATAGCATAGTTCCTGATAAAGGTAGGGGGATTTCATTTGGCAAATATTAGAGTTTACAAACTCTGCAGCTTCATTTTGGAGATGTGTTCTAATGAAAGATGATGACTATGATCCAAGAAGCTCTGAATGTGCACTGACACAAGCTGTCAAACTTTTAAACAGTCTGTGTATAAAGACGGATGGTTTTATTTGGATCTGTCAACTATCAATAATAACTTGAGAATCCTTTAAGGATCTGCCTTGTTTATGTATTCTATTTTATACCAATTGACAGAAATAAACTTTTGAAGGAATTCAGAAAAGGGCTTGCAAGGAAAGCCTTTTACAGAGGGCAGTATAGAGAGCATCGATTGAACGGTTCTCGGTATCTCATACGTATCACCACTGAGAAAATGACCATCTTCATACAAAGAAATGAATTTGCAGCTGACATCTTGAAGAACAGACACAAGATTCCTTAGCAGCAGGTTCAAGCTCTGGGACCAGATGTCTCGCAAGTGAGAACAGTTTAGTCTCTAGAGAAGCTTTGACACGGTAGGGAAGAAAACACAAACTCCTTGTGTCAGGAACTGATGAACTGAGGCAGGCTCTAACTGGTATCAGTGGGGCTAAAAGAGAGACACGGCTACTTTTAGCTCCAGTGAGTAAACCACAAGTACCAGGGATAAGCTTTACAGGGCAGATACAGGCTTACAAGAACACCAAGCAAAAAAGTTGCAGATGATGCAACTTGTACAGCCTTTTTTATCCCTGGTGAGAAGCTCTCTCAAATGAAATGAGCAGACATATTTTATCTACAAAAGGTTCCTAGCCTTCAAGGCATGAAGTAAGGAGTGCAGCTGTAAAAGCTATAATTGCAAGTCTGTGAACAGGGGCAGAGGCTTCAGCTCCAACATTTATGAGCCATTAGGTTGTCTCAGTGAGCTGTTTATTCTAGAAGCAATGTGTCCATGACATTAATCTGAATGACAAGGATAACGAAAGGCATATTCCTGCAAATATTGGAAAGATCCTGTTAATACTGTACAAAACAACTCCCCTCTCTGTCATAAGATTACCCCTAATCTGAGGAGATGCCTCCAGTGTGTCTTGTACTCATGTATGCAAGCCTTAAGTGATGTGGAGCATCACACTAGTACGACAATGCCATGCAGCCTAGAAAGGATAGGCAGGATTTCACAGTGGTGATATCCTAGTGGACTGAGAACCATTGATGATCTTTTTGTTAGCCAGCTGCTCGAGTGTGCAAATAAAGGGGACCTATTCCATCTGAGCTGACTGTTCACTACTTCTAAGACCTCAATTAAAAAGCCAGCACTCAACACTGTGAAAAAATTCAATGGAAAATACCTTCTAACAATGTTTCTCAGTGAAAATGCAACAAAAGCATTTTCTTTGTGGCAGTGTGAAAATAAATTCATGAGATACAAAACTATTCCTTCTCTATAAGAACTGAATGTCAGAAGATCCCATCTTGAACTTAAAAAGGAAGAATATTTATATTTGTAGATAGACAGTAACCGGCCTCCTTTCCACTTCTGCATCAAAAAAATATCTGCTGTTAAGCTCTTGCTTCTGTGCTGCACAGTGACAGGTTCAACAGACCTAAATAACAACAGCAGACCTAAATAACAACAGAAGGCCTCCTTCTTAACAGCTGGTCTGGAGAAACTGAAGTCCAATGCTGTCAAGGGTAACAGAGGAGAAATCCAGTTAAGGCTTGATCCTGTGAAAGGATGAGTATTTGGATGGAGTCTTAAGGGTGCTGACATATAGTTTGAGTGACATTACCAAGCTGGTCAGTTATCTGAAGATTACAGAGAAGAACGAACTTGCCTCAGTGATGAGCACTGACAGTCCATCAAAGACAAGAAAATGAGCTGTTTCTCAAAGTAGACACCAAGTGCTAACGGAGAAGCCTGGTGCCACAGGCATCTCTGATACTAAGCAGAAGTATCTGCTCCACTGATAAGCCAGAAAAAGACAGTGCCATCGGACTATCCTTAAAGATGCCAGAAGAGAAAGTGGAGAGGTAAGAGGAGATTTCCAGTTCTTTCACTCTGAAATAGGGTGACCGCGTTAGTATTAAAACTGGTGCTAAAGAAAGCATAATGGCAATTAGATAAATGCAGCTGGATTAATTTTGCTCAGACCCAATTCACAGAGGCACTTTGATATTCAATGAAGGTACAAAACATTTACAGCAACTTATCTGAGACCTTACAGATACCCAGCAATTGCAACTTGTTAGCTCAGTGCCACAACAATGATACTGGAAGATCAGTCAGCTGTCATGAGGCACAGAGACCTTGCATCAGTCCAGATAGAATAAGGAAGGGGAGCAGAAACAATGTTTTCTGGACTGTGACCTTCAGTGACCAATGGCTTAGGTTTGAAACTCTGGGTTTGTCCACATACCGTGTGGCCCATGCCAAGCTAATTATTTGTGACTCTCGAAAGCCATGTAATCCAGGATTTAAAAAGGAACCCTTTTAGGGGCTCCCTAGAGGAACCTTAGCAGATCTGGAACATTACCAATCTGGAGCCTGAAAGTCTGGGATAAAGCACAGTGGCTAGTCACACAACCCTTTTAAAGACAAAATAAGAATCTTGCAACCATTTCAGTAGACCACAGCCATCACAAGTTGCACAAAGCGGAATAATGACACAGCAAATAACCACTGAGGAGGAAAGCACTGCTGATAAAAACACCCAAAAAATGTTCCTGAGGATGGCTCAAAAAAATGTGAAACAACTGAATTGTACAGAGAAATTTTCACTCCCCCTCTCCCCCCCAAACCAAATCAGTATTATGAAGATCCTGTTTTATGTAAGTCTCATTCTGATCACGAGAGAGGAAAATGAGTGAACAGATTCCACTCTGCAGGAGACCTATGAAATGAAAAAGTTGTCCTGCCTTAAATAATAGCACAGGTGCAATTTCACAAGTGGATGCGGAGGTGGACTGTCACTTAGAGGCAATTTACTGGGGATATCTTGAGGCTTAAGTGCTGGCCTGTTTAAACTCTGAATAACCCTATCCCTTAGAACATTTGCTAGGTGGATTGTGACCTTGAAGCTTATTGTATTTTTAATGGGTCTGTGAAAATGGGCCTGAAAGAGTGCAGGACTCAAATATGTTCCGATTACTTCTTAGAGTGAAAATAAATGTGTATACTTTGTACGTGCAATAAGGCACCAAGATGAAGACGGGAACTACAGGAAGCCAATTACTGCCTGGCTCACTTTAAAGAAAATGTCCTTTTCTAGGTTCAGCTGGAAACGTTCATTCACCTGTGCGTGAACTTCACAGAAGGGCTGGAAGAACAAAGCGTGTTTTTTCCCCAGGGTTAGTACTAAAATGGTAACAACTAAGTAGATATCTATTTCTGAAACAGCCTGTTTATTGACACAAGAACAGTGTCCATGATTGATAGAACCTGCTTACCAATGGCAAGAGACCACTGTCTGACAAAACTATCAGAATGCAATTTTGGAAACCTTTTATTCAGATCTTGAGTACTAGGCAATACCAACAGCCCTACAAAGTAATTTGCCTTTCACTGTAATTAATGTTCTAGTAAATTACTGATAATTATATAATTCCTAATGTAGCTATATCTCAGGTCAGCTCACTATTACACTGTCCAACAGATCTCCATACAGAAACTGATGAACTTGCCAGAATCAAGGGGAAGAGACTATGCCATAGAACACACAAGAGCTAACACATCAGAAGTAGAGATTTCAGGTTTTGATTTCTACCGGCAAAAGCACAGCACAAACAGTATTTCCAAAACAAGCAATGCCTTCAGATAAATATTCAATTGCTTGACACAACACACAAAAACCTGCTGAGTAACAGCTTTTCTGAATTAATGGAAATGGCTTACCTCATCATAATAAGCTCTTAAATCAGCTCTTTTAGATCGTAAGTCCCAGAATACTATAGTTCCATTTTCATAGCCTATCAACAGCTGGAGGAGGGAAACAAACACAGTTATAGTTTCTGATTCAAAAGGTATTAACAAATGCTGAAGAACTTCATGGGTTTAAGAGATTTTAAAGAAAACAAATAAGCACTATAAAAAGAAATGCCAAACTGATGTGCAGGATTGTAACTTGCTCTCTTCGTAACACCCTGCTTTCAAATTATGTTTCAATAGAAATTCTCATTACTGAGAAGTTAACTTCCCTGCAAGATTATGTGCCTGGGTAGTCTCCACAAGTGTATATTTACTAAGAAAGTAAGACCATAGCATGTTCCTGTCCGCTCTTACCTTCTTTGCCCCTGGTTAGAGGGAAAACTGCCATCGAAGGGATCATTTGAACAACTTCAAACCAGAGAGCCACCAGATTAAACTCTTATCCAGCTACTTACATTCCTTTGATTTCCGCTTTCTATTGCTTAAAAACATTCTTAATATCTCCCCTTGCAGCGAATAAACTGCTTGCTTTTTTAGAAACTGAAAAGAATTCAACTGGCATGCCAGTTTTTACTTCTTCTGGAACTGGGATGTTGCATCAGCATGCACACCTAAAAAATACTGGGGAAGAAGGTTTGTGAAAAGAGAAAGACAAGAAAAACAATGCCCAGGATAAGAAAAGGATGAGCACAATCCCTTCGCCTTGTCTCTGTTGAAAAGAACTGAATTCTTGATCTGACACGATATTCATCTCTCTTTATCTGAACACAATTAATTTCAGATCTTATGGAAGACATGACGTCTAGCCTACTTAGGTGTCCTGGAAATTGCTTCCCATAGAGCCTGTCATCCTAGGAATCTATCCGAACATGAAGACTGGGAATGGCCAAACTGGCAGACACATTCCTGCTATAGAATATTTCATACAACTGGCAGTGATAACTGCAGTTGTTCTTTATCCATAAACACATGAATCACAGAATGCGGGCAAGAATTTACAGTTTCTATATTAAGAATCTGAGCAGAAGAAAGACAAGACTATCTCTTAGTCTGTGAAACCTTCACAGCATCTTTGCCATCACCCATTTTAGCTTGCATAACTCATAAAAATGAAACTTGGCTGGACTGCTACAGAAAATATCACTGTTCCCAAGTTAAGTATAACTGATACATCAATACTGCTATAAAAGAGTCTGGGAATACTCTCAGCCCTACTAAATACGATTCTTTATATTGCCAGGTGAATATTCATTATGTGAAGATGCATTACCTAATTTGGGAATGATTTATAGTTACTATATTAATACCTGAACATGAAAAATACTTGATTACTTAAGAATTCTGCTCCTGAGACAAATTCAAACTGTCCTGGAGAAATTCCACAGTATTTATCATTTTTGCTCTGGATGGGTCCATATGGGATTCTAGAGCAGAGTAAATATGAAAAGACATCCTATTCAGCAAGCATGCAACTAACTGGATAGCACTTGTGTCAGGATGCCATATGGTAATCTGGGATAATAGATTGCCACTGAGAGTGAACAAGGAAGTGTCTGACTGTGAGAGCTTTCACTGTTAGTGCAGTGATCCTAAATGGAAGACTTATTTTATCCAGGAGCTAGTGATCCACATAGCAGTTAAACTGAGTAGGTGAGGCCTGTTCTGTGTTATGTTGTGCTGTACATATTCCTTGTCCACAGGATAAACTTAACTGGCTAATTCTAAGGAAGCCTGTAGGCAGCCCCTGCATAAGGGCAATTACAGTATTCTTGTGTCTTTGCCTTTATCTTAATATAAGGCAGTATGTCTCATGTGAACACCCTTTTTCTTGATAGTAGAAATGGATATTAAAAAAACCCATCTTTTATCTTTTGAGCTCTCCAAAGATCAAAATGCTGGCAAACTCCTCACACAGGGGACCAGCACAGTGTGTCGTGTCCTTATAAAAGGTTCATCCAATGCTACACAACTTGGGGTTTCCATCATCCTTTTTCTATAACTTCAAAAAACAGTATTTTAATCAATATGTTACAGTATCTGATTGCCTTCCTTACTGCCACCATAATGGACACTTGCACTAGTACATATGGGTACACTAGTACATTTGTACACTAGTACAATACAGCTGGGTACCAAACCAGTTGAGCTCAGTTCCCATCTACCAGCATTCTTTTCACCTCAGCTTTTGTACAAATATATTCAGGAAACAGAAAGAACAGAAAAGCATTTAGTCTGTGACCCTGTACCTTAATAAGCCTTTCTCCCTGGTGAAGCAGGGTTTTTTATCAGTCTCTTTTCCAAAGATATCACACTACAGGTGATTCCTAAAAGGTTAAACACCTCCTGTCAGAGAATGCATTTCATGTGATCTATTGCTGAAACGCTTAATGCACAACAGCACTACAGAACTGCAAGACACAAAGTGCTGTGATTTCAGGGAAGAAAGCGGCCTACAAGGATGCCAGAGTTGGACTCTTCATTAGGGACTGTAGTGACAGGACATCATAGAATGAGTTTAAACTGAAACAGGGGAAGTTTAGGTTGAATATAAGGAAGAAGTTCCTCCCTGTGAGGGTGGTGAGGTGCTGGAATAAGATGCCCAAGGAAGCTATGAATGCTCCACCCCTGGCAGCGTTCAAGGCCAGGTTGGACAGAGCCTTAGGCAACATGGTCTAGTGTGAGGTGTTCCTGCCCAGCGCATGGGGTAGGAACTGGATGATCTTAAGGTCCTTTCCAACCCAAACCGCTCTGTGATTCTGTGATTTGCTGCATAGCTGGGAATCTCTTTCTCTTTGCTCTGATGGTAGCCATACTGCCTAACTACTAGTACTGGGTGACTGTGATTAGTCTCATTGACAGTATACTTCTGATGGTCCAAATTCTGACCTGTCTGAACCATAAGAAACTCAAACATTCACACTCCTCTTGGCTACGGTGAGCATCTGAGAGATTTGTTAAGACAAGCTTTATGTTTGCAACGGAGGTAAAAAAATAAAACATTCATAAATGCAGTTGGAGAGGAAAACACAAAGAAGAAAAATATATGTAAATATGTGTAAAAAGAGTCAAAGAAGGAAACAGCCCAAAGATTTCTCTTCAGCTGGTGGCTCCTGGCACCTTGTTTAATTACTTATGCTTAATTAGGCTAAGAAATATGCAGAAAACTGAACAGAATTTGAAGGAAGGAAGAGTTCTGTCAAGATCTTCCTTGTCTTGTGGAGTTGTCCCACATTTTGTCATGAAATGCTTTTGATGATGGTGTTTTAGGGAGACTTCTACAGTGAACTAATTGCATCTTGGCATATGCCAGCTAGCCCCTTCCTTGTCCTGGTAGCACAAAACAGCTGAGAGAAAAAAACCCAAGCTTCTAAATACACTGTATTAGGTGTTATTAGATCTCAGACTCAGAGATAGAAAGTTTAGTCCACTAGCTAATAGATAATAACATTAAATAGTTTCCTACTAAGTTTTCTCCACTTGCTGGGAAACTGCAGATCACTGGAGTTAATGTCTTCTCCTGTGTCAGCAAGAGAAATCATATTTGCTACAGATCTGCCACTTAAAATTGGCTGTGCACTTCAGTCTGTTCCTAATGTGCCTGTACTCATGGATTTGGCAGGCATAGTTATATCTCATGAGCTTAATCACTAGGACTCCAAATTGCTCTTCAGCACCCCATTAAATGCCCAAAATCTCTTTGCTGTCTGTCTTCCAGCCACAGCTTGCTAGATTCATAAAAGAAACTCTCTCCAAAGTCTTCCTTGACAGTTTGACTGGAGGGCACTCTGGAAAAAATGTGAATGGCAGAAATCTTCTGGAATGACATTCAGTGCTTTGCTGCAGACAAAGTGGTCATGGGTCACTGACAGAAACTCGAAATGTTAGCAGTTTTAAGTATTTTTAAAAGATGAATAGACACTCAGCACACAAAATCCCCAGGCTTTCAAAAAGAGATCTTACAATTGTCCTACATTTGGAAAGGTTTGTCTGGTTTAGGACTCAACAACTCATGGCCCACAGGAAAATGCTACTTACTTACTTCAGCCAAACATACCCAGATCTGTAAATAACTTTGTAATACTCCAGGATAGATATACCACTGGACCCTTGCAAAGTATATCCTTGCACTTGTAGGGTACAACAATATCTGTATGACGATGACTGATTTGTATCCATTCTTTAAGTCCTGAAGCATATGTAGGAAACATTTTTAGCTAATCCCATTCATGAAGTGATACGGGGAGTCTAAGTTCTCCCACTGACACCTCTTGGTGCTCTTTGGTTAACTAGAACCTGAAGAACTAAGCAGAACATGCAGTATTATATTGAAACAGCTCTATCACCTAAGAACAACTCTGCCATATTAAACAAAAGGTCTACCTATCATAGTATCTTGTACTGAAATGGCCAAGAGCAAATAATGAAGAACAATATAGAAAGACGGAAATTGCTTTTCACATTTTCACATATTCTTGCAGCCTAAGTAATTTTCTTACTACAAGAAAATGGAACTTACTTCTGTTGAAGTAAAAATATTTTAGATTCCTCTTTGGCCGTGGTGCACACCATTCCTGTAAGAGATGCTCACTCACAAGACCATTTTTTTCTTTTAGTATCACATCCTTTCTACCTACACCATGTACTTTAGGTAGGTCAGCAGCAATTTCTGTTGTAGTCAGCGAAGAAGAGTTATGCCTCATCAATAAACCTTTCTTTTTATCAGGTATTTTGCCATAGATAGTTAAATAGCATTTCTTAACGGTTTCTGGTTTGAGGCTAAAACACTACACTTTATAGTGCTCAATTACTTTATTTGCTGTATTATAAATTGCATGATCTATTGTGATACTTCCAAAAAAGCTTAGACATCCAATCTCACTTGTTGAAGGGCTAGCTGGCAAGTGCATTTTTTTGCACATAGGTCTCCTTACAATATGAATAAATCTAAGAATGAATAATGCAAATGAAATTCAGATGTAGTCATCAGTGCTCTTCTACGTGCCCATATTAATTTCAGTATAATATGCTTCATATCAGTATCAGAAATACAAACTGCTGCTAGTTTCCAATAACTATTAGCTGTACGTGGGGCACACTGTCAAACAGATACACCATTTTATAAGATGCAGTCCCGTATAAATGCACAGTAAAATGCAATTGGTGAATGCAATCAAAACCAATGAGATAGTTAAATGTCCCTTCCATACAAGCAAAATGCTCCAAAATCCAATAACGAAACATAAATCCAGAAGCTGTCATAAAAACTGCTATTCTGGCAACCGAGTTTCATTTTGAAAAAGCTACCATACAAACAAAGCCAACTCTGATTTTGCCTCCTGATGTTACCCATCACAACTCTGTATGTTTTGCTTCCACTTGTTGACAGCTTTTTGCTATTCTCAACTTTGTTCACAAACAGTAGCAAGTTCCAAATGTGGGTTACATTCATTATTATTCTTGTATAAGAAAATACTATCTTCTGAAAACTCACAATAATGCCTTCATAATAGCACGTTTATCCAAGAACTTAAGTCATGATACAGCTTGCAGTCAATTCTTACTTAAGCAAAGTCAAGTTTATTTAATCAGGAAAGATGTCGGTTGGCTACAGGTTTTGAAGAACAGTATGTTGTCTGTATCACACAATTTGACTCATTAAAATTGCACAAAGAGAATTTGCTTCTTAAAACTTGTAAAATAGTAAAAGTGACCTTGCAAATATAGAAAGAAAGCAGATGGCAAAATTACTGAGTACTCAAGAAAGGGTGAGCTATCAAGGCAAATAAAGCCTATGAAATGTTTTATACCATTGGTTGTACTCACTTTCCCTTCATCTCTTGGGCTGTCACTTAAATGTACAACTGGCCCAGGGTGAGTCTTTGTGGATCTGCAAAACAAAAATCAATTCAAATCTGTGAATGTTTTTTGTATGAAGAGCTAGATGCTTACCTTACTTCCTAGGTGTGTTACCAACATGTAACTCCAACAGTTCAAAAGTCATTCTAAAATTCCCAGCAGGGGAAGACAACTACCTGAAAGTTACTGATTTCTTTTCATGTGCTCCTCTATCTCCCATTTTGCCATTATAGGCAAAGATTCTTCTTTGTTGATTAAACCTTTCTTTTGTTTTGGGGGGTTTTGTTTGTTTGCTTGTTTGAAATCTCACTATTCCTCCTGTTACAGTACTTTCCCCCTCTCATTTCCAAGGCTTTTTGCCTTTCCTAGTCTCCACTCCCTCTCTTTCTGCCCTCCCTCCTCATTTGCTCAATGTCAAGGCTAATCTAGCAAGTATTTGCAAAGTCTTCACTGGATTCATTTCAAATACTCCTAACAAGACTCGCCAATTGTATAATGACAGGGCCATGAGTCTTTGTAAGCCTCTATAAAGATTACTTCTTGTTCTTGTTGTTCCATCCTTTTTTGTAACCTGTACATGAAGCATGCAACTCAGTACAGGGACTGTTGCTTAAGTCATTGATGTCCAGCACCTGAGAGCAAATGCAAATCATAGGAAGATGAATAGACAGATGAAGATTTTTCAATTGTCATCTCTTCTGACCAAACCTTTAGGCCCTGGCAGTCATGCAGAGCAAGAAGACAAGCACCAGTCCATAGAACTTCAGGCCATGTGAATGCTTGAACAGAACAGGACCTTTCTTCTATCTAGGCTCTGGGGTCAGAGCAGAGTTGTTGAAGTTCAGCTTAGGATCTAGACTTGCATGGTCTTGGTTCACCAAAGGTCACCAAGAAAAAAATATGGCAGAGATTGACGGTACCCATAAAGCTAAGAATTTATCTGGAAGCCAAACCTAAAATCACCTGGGCTCTGAGCTTTAAAATAATTTGCAAAAGTACTAAAGAAGCAAACCTAAACAAGGCTCTCCAGCCAAATTGCTCAAAGGTTTTCCTTAGATTAACAACATCCCTCTTCCTTTGGCTCAAATATTACACTTAGCAAAACTGGCCTCTCTTCTACCAGGTCAGACTTCAAATCAAGACTCAGAGTGCTATGCAAAAATTTGAAGGGAACTCAAACACTAAAAAGGTGTGGAGCAATCCATACCCTTATAGATTCATCCTTCCTTAACCAGTATGTTCCAGCAGTCTTCAAAGCACGCACACTTTCCTCTGGCCTCTATTTTTTTGCCTGTAGAATGTTTTAAATATTTCAACTATTGGATTATGCACTAAAACTAGGCCAAAGCAGAGTAGTAAAGACCTTGTCTGATATTCACCCCTCAGCTGAAGACAGTGAAAAATTACTCCAGACATCCTTTGACCTTCCAAACTACATTTATTCCAGGCCAAAGGTATAGAGAACTTCAGGGCACCTAAAGACCAAACAACCCCATCCTTTCACTTATATTTTACCATTATCGCTAGCTGAATACACAAAGATAGCCACAGTGTGGCAAACCCTTTTCCTTCGTGAACCTTCCCCACAGGATGGTCCCATGCCACCATCTTCAGCTTTGGCAGATCCTGTTTCCACAGATACCTGAAGTACATTATTTTTCCCCATGAGATTTCTGTGAGCAAGGTTTCTGCAAGAGCATTTTGCAACATATCACAGCACAGAAGTGAGATGAGCAGGAAAGCAGCAGCCAGCCAATTTATACAGTAATATTCTATACACACAGTCTTTAATGGTGCCAGCAGCAGCTACCCATTTGACTTGAGACTTGGCACTCAACCATTTTTGCAGAGATGCAGTTAGCAGGAGATCTGGCTGTCATTCCTATCCAAGACAACTGACCAGTTGGGGCTGAGCTTCTGTTTGTGAGTAACCTGTACTGGAATAAAAAAAGTCATTTCCACACCACCAGACTTTGGAGCAGGCCGGGTAGGTAGACAATGAGGGGTAAACAAGGGGTAAGATGAGGACATTTGCAAACAAGACTTGCACATCTGCCCTCAAGAGAGTGAATATAACATCTTGGGACATTCTAGAATGCTTTGAACTTTGTTTTTGACATAGGTTCACCTACCTGAACTGGTCAGAGTATGTTGATGGAAAGAACTAGGTCTGTTTGGGGTGCGTGCTGCTTGTGGCATGAGAGGCAAAGCAGGAAGTATAAGAGTAAGAGGGGAAAACAAAACCAGGAAGAGAAGAGGCAGCATAATAAATGTTACTGTTTAGCCAGATGAGAACCACTGACAGATGACAGAAAAGGGAGCAGAGCCAAGTAAACAGCAGGCACGACTAAGCTGGCAACAGCCACAGTGGTGGAAAGAGCACACACACAGGCTGACAAGGCATACTGGTTTGGGCGGTTATCCCAGCCCATTAAACTATCCAGTATGCAGGCTGGGTTGCTTGGTCTTACCAGTATTAGTACTTCACCAGGAATATTGGCAAAACTGGGGCAAATAAAGGAAGAAGGGGAAAGCACATATGGTCTTCCTAAGGTAAAGGTTGATCCCACCGAGCCCACCCTTTGTACCCACCAATTTTAAAAGTCAAGAACAATTCCAATAAATCTGTGCAACCAGTTTTCTTCTTAAGATACATACATCATTGCTTACCAAAGAATGGGTCCATTTATCTTTGGGTAGCATACAACTCTTACATGAACTGTAGGCACTATATGTTACATTAAACTGTAGGCTAAACATATTTTCATTATCACAAAACTAGTTGTTCCTAGTAAGGAGCTGGGTGAGGGTCTTGTGATCAGCCAGGGTCAACCCACCACAAATACCTTGATTGCTTAACAGCTGACAGCTTTTATTATATACAGGTGAAAGGAAACAGAGTCTATTAAGTTTGGCAGACGTAACACTAATTCTGTCGGGAAATGAGAAAGGATCTTCTTCAAACAGCTGTATATCCTGGAATTCATTTCAGATGTGTCACTGCAGATAAGATCACCTACAGAGTTTCTGGGGCAATGACAACAGATGTTCCTGAAGCTTTTTGGACTTGTAGAGCCTACTTCCTGGCAGTCGTCCTGCACTGCCTTTCCAGGGCTCTAAGAAATATTGGGGTTTAGACATACAAAATAAAGTATCTGCATCAAAACTAACTCCTTTTTGGACTAAACAACAAGGAATATTCATGAGTGGCAGCACACAGCTTTTGGTTTGGTTTAGGGCAGAATATCCCCCATCTTGGGAGAGATGTCTGGGAGAGGATATACTGATACAAAATAATACCAGTTCAGAGGGAGCAGGGGAGAAAACTGTGTGAAAGGGTTGTAACTTTCTCCATCCTCCATGGTCTTTTGCTTGTTGCTCTCAACCTGCCCTATGGCTGGATCCAGGAGAGACATGATAAATCTCTGACAATACATCTATCTTGCTTCTCCTGAAAAGATGTTCTCTCTTTACTAGTGCAGGACTGTCTAGGAACCCAAAGCTAATTCTTCGTGCCACAGTAAGGCCAGGAATAGTCTGTCAAAGGCAAATCAGTGCCTTACTTCTTGCATCTCCTTATCTCCTCAAGGAAAGTATGTATAAACCAGAAGGAATATCACTATTTTTTGGATCCCTAGAGAAGTGTTGCTTGTAAAAAGTGTGCCAGGCATTACGCTTTACAGTCAATTTCTCCTAAGGGCAGACACCATGACTGCACTAGAAGTAGGATTAAATGAAGCAATTTAGTTAACTATATTATATTGATAATATTAGTTTACTCTAATGAAACTCTATCAGAGCTACTGATACAGTAATTACTACTTTCATACAGAAAATTATACTGCATGTGGAAATGTCTCAAGCAAAAACATTTTGCCTCATGTAGTTTTAGCATGTATAAACTGTTCTGTTTCCCCTTATTACTACTACAGTAGACTAGTCAGGAGAATGGAAAGTCATATGCTGGCATTTTGGAACAGCCTACAAAGAAAGAAGAACACGGCTGAATTACATTAAAAGCAAAAGCAGAGATCCAATAGCTCCTGGAAAGGATGAAGAGGTGCTGGGAAACCAAACACACTTGAAGCTATCATGAATAAAACACGCTATTGTTGGTGACAGACACTTGTGTACAGGCATTCCTTCAAGCTGTGTAAAAACTAGCTAGACCCTATCCCTTGAAGTAAATGGTAAAAATAAGGCATAAGTGAAACAGTTGAGCAGAGAATTCTTTATTTTCAAATCCTAGCTGAGGTACAGCTCAGAACGAGAAAATAGAAGCTCTGAAGAGACATGAAAAGGATAAGACACAAAGCAAAGTCTAAATAGAGAAGAAATGATACAAAAATGAAGGTCAAGTCAAAAGAATACCAGCAGTGATTCAGAGTAAAAAATTCCTGAAGCAGAAGCTGCCCTGAACTGAGCAAGAAGAAAGTATGAGCTAATGATACAAAAGATTGCAAAATTTCATAGCTTTCACTGACCTTTAAGCCCACAAAACCAGACTGAAACACTGAAAAATGGAACAAAAGGTTCCCATGGTAGCTATACAGAACTAGAAGTTTGTTGTGAAATTAGGGATACTTGAAGCTGTTCTGAACTTCTTCAGAAGTTACTCCTGACAGCAGTAGGTATTCATTCATTTGGTGCATGTTCGTTTCTGGGAGATGAGAGAGCTGGTTTGCTGTGATCCTTGACTCCTACTCAGGAGAACAGGACTGAGAAGAAGAAACCATTCACAGTAACACAGCAGCCTTCAAAACACTTGAAAGGATAGAAAAAACATAAACCAGAAAATGCAAAAAGAAGTTTTCAGCAATGTTAGAATTGGACTCCAGAAAATGTGGAAAAAACATAGATGGTGGATTCCTCCCCCAGTCTGGGAATGTTTTATGCACTCTAAGAAACAGAGTGACTTAAATAATGTTGTAAGACCTTCAAATATCGAGACAATCTTAAAGCAGGTAAAAGTGATTTATGACAAAATGGAATCAAATCAAGAGAAAACATCTTCCTTTAGAAAAAAGTACCCTGCCCGGTTCCAGAAGCATTGTAATGATTTCTGAGCAGAATGAAAACCTGGTGGTAGAAAGCGGCAGGAGTTAGGAGAGAGGGGAAAAAACCCAAACCCCAAAACCATCTATCTTAGTCACTGTTCCAAAGTTAACTGAATGTGACAGTGCTGAGAAAAGCATGTGCATAAGCCGATACTTTCATAGTGCCAGTAGTCAGACATCTTCCACAGTTCTGCTTTCCACAAAGGTGCAGTGCAACAGAGATTTTAAGACTTTCTTTTCAGTGGTATAATTACAGAGAAATTCAAATGAGTAAGTTAGATACATCATGCATACGCTGTGGATCAAAACTGGGAACTGGAGTAAGTAAGAATAAGTACAACCTCAAGGTGCAACTTCTAGATTGTCTAGAAGGATGCCTTGCAACTTGCACTTGCTTTTTACCTGCAATTATTTCCAGTTAGGTCCGCACACAGAGAGGGTAGCAGTTGCTCCTAGACTGCTAATTCTGTGTACTGCTTTCCCTCACTGCTGTGGAACCGTTGGCTCTGATACACATCCAGGAAATGGGGATGGGCAAGGAAAGAGCTAAGAAAGGAAAGACCCAGTTATGGTGCTATCATAACTGCGTTGCAGTATTCCCAATTCTTTGATACTCCAAATTCCACACGTTTTGTCAAGGTTCAAGTATTCATTATTTAGTAGGGTGTTCAAACACTGGAATCTGCAGGCTTGCAAAGAGGGCTTACAATGTGTATTTCACATTTTTGGAGTTCCACAGACTCATACCAAGATCTTCCTTTACTTCCCAACACCAGATGACCTTCCAAAATGTATGATCCTGCAGGCTGAGAAAATTAATTTTACTGTAGTTGGAATAAATGGCTGGCCCTACTAACTATTATACTATTCCAGAACTGTTTCCAAGCACTTTTAAAGAAAAGAGAGAAACCATTTGCTTATTAGAGAGTAGAAAAACCAAGCCATATCATGAGCCCCAAACATGGCTGGCAAAGGACTGCCTTTGCTACATGACAGAGAAATGACAAGTGAAAAGGTTAGGAGTTATTCTTCATTCCTGGCTGACAAGGTGCTTCAGTGTGGTCTGAGGTAGTGACAATGCATGAGATGGCAGAAGTGGCTGCGACAAGAATTGCTAGACAAAATGTTTCTAAAACTCCCCATGCTCTAAAGTTTTCTCTCAGCTCTGGACAAGGCCAGATCCACTGAAACTTAAGAGAGTGCACATGATTTATAAAGGACACAGGTCCTTTATAACACAGGTATTCTGACCTCTTCAGGCTACCTTGGCCATGGTATTTTAGCAGTGTATATGGAAGCCCTCTTCAACCATGTTTGATTGGTTGCTTTGGTTGGTTACTCACAAAATGAGCTGTAATCTGGCTTTACAGTGACTTCAATGTGGTAATATTCAGTTTAACATTCCAAAGTCAAAACATTGCAGGTTTTTTAAAAAATGAACCAGTTCAATCTCCTATTGGTTTTTACTGTAAAGCCTTGAAACCTTAGTGACAACTGAGTTAAATTCAAGTTATAACAATTCATGGCGCTTTCATTAGAAGTAGGGGTGAGTCAGTGAAGAAAATGAGGAGGAATTCTGAAAGAAAGTCAAGTTGTGTTGGCAGACTTAGTCTGCAATTTTACAAACTGGATGAGAATTGCACTGAAAAGGGAAGAGCTTATTTGTGCAGATGACATGCTCAAAATTCTATTTCTATATCCTCCATCTAAACTGAGGACTTCAATATAGCAGCAGAGCAGTCACTTTTACTGGTCTTTCCCTGCCAATAAGTTTGACACAAATATGCTTGGACAAAAGGCAAACTCTCTCCTTCCAAGCTTGATAGAGAATAGTAACATCTTCAAACTAATCCCATACTCTGAATTGATATAAACTATCTCGGAATGAAAAACAATGTTATGAGCACTATTACCACCGTTTATGCTAAGGCTGAAGGTATTCCATACAAACATGAAGTTTTACATATATATGTTTTCCTATTTTATTTCATCTTTGCAAGTACCTAACATCAACAAGCCCTCTGAACTCATAAAGCCCTGAGGAATCTGGTCTCATAGCTGATCTTACTGGGAGCAGGTTGTAACTAAGCAGCCCTTCTTTCCCACATGCATTTCATTGAAGCGATGCACCGTTCTGTTCTGTTCTCATTAAAAGGTTGTTGTGGCCATTTAAATTAAAAAATTATCCAAAAGAATGTTGAAAGAATTAGGATGTAGGAAGCGAAACTTGGTGGAAGGCTTCTACTTCATAAAAAACTTACAGGTTTATTTCCATGCACAGTAAAAATACCCTAATGTCCAGAGGAAAGAAAATTCCAAGCGTGTGCAAAATGTTCTTGAAGCCTCAAAGGCATTACCTACTCAATTTAGTATATACACATTTTAAAATACAGGAATCAAAAAACCTCTTAAGATGACAACATCACCAGAACAGAGTGAGAAACAGAAAATAATTCAGATACCTCTCATCTGAAGAGCTCAAAGTGAATGTGTTTATTCTGCTTTGGATTAAACCACATTTTCCACCAGTAACTTTTCAGCCACAACTCCCAAGCAAAGTCTTACAAAGGCAGCACATACAAACATTCCAAAATCAAGAACTGGGTAAAATATTCCCTAGCAGACTGGATCCTGATTACCTTTTGAAACCTTGGTTTTACCTCTTTTGAAGATGAAAGTTGGTTCTTATGACTGTGCTTACGAAGTTTGGTGGGGGCAAAGAAGAGGAAAGAAAACAAGGCATGAGTTTTGTCAACCTGGGGGACACAGGGATTAGTAAAAGTCAGTCATAATGGGGGGGGGGGGAGAAGGGGAGAATTTTGGAGAAAAGAAGCTGCTATCAATGTGATGTCTGCTTGGGGCAGAGAATTAGATCCACCACTGTAGGCCTGTAATCCTATTTGTAGATACTGTCCTCTCGGTTCATTGACCTTGGTGAATTTCCATTTACTACCAGAGCTTACAGGTACCTCATAACATGAAGAAGATGTCTCAGAAACTATATGAAATACTACAAGTTTGCCCACAGCAGTTCCTCTTGCTGGCACTTCACAGAGGAAACAGCCCAGAAAGAATGTTTTGTTTCTGCTGAGGCTTTTACTTGCAAGAAGTGGAGATTTATCCAGCTCAGATTTTTATATGCCTCACTCCTTCATACCCATGACACAGGCACCTGGGTTAGCCTGTTAGAAAACTGTCATTTAACAGACACTTTCCCTATCACTTCATCAGGTTTTGATGAGCCTGATTTAACTTTGAAATTAGTCCTGTGTTGAGCAGGAGGCTTGGCCTAGAGACCTCCAGTTTAGTTTCACCTAATGATTCTATGTTTCATTGAAGAAAACTTCTCCATAGAGTCTTAGGGGCCAATATATGCCATTATTCTCTTTATAGGATGTTTGGAGGAGATGGTGGTCCAACTACCCTTATAAAATAGCAAAATCTGAATTTGGGATATTCATGGATGTCTGTATTTCAAGGAACTTCATAGTTAAACAGACTGCCAAATAACTTTTTCTTTTCTATAATTTATAATTACACAGTCTCGATCACAAACCTGAATTCCTAATGTCCTGGAACAAAACAGTTAATACTGCATGCGCATCGTTAAAATAAAAGGCTTTCAAAGGATTTGTTAGTATTTGTAAAAAGAAATTATTCTTAAAAGCAGATCTTAAGACAGCTGTGAAAATGACTACGGACACAAATGCAAAAAAGTCTGCACTTACAGTTCTATTGCCTTGTTCCACATGATAACATATCCAGAAAGAATGAAGGACTCGATATTTACAATGTGTGTATTTCCTCTCTCTGTTCCAACATAGAGCCATTTACTCTGGAAAGGTAGATGGCAGTAAGTAATCCTGGAAAGGAGAAACAAAAGAAGTGACAGAATATTGTATTAACAGTATTTTTCATCATTTCTGCAGACGAAATAATTGTTTTAGTCTATAACCTGAGAAAAGCCTGCTCAGCAGGACAGAGTGTTCTGAAAAACATGCAAGTTTTGGAGGTCATCTCCAGAAAAAAGTAGAACAGAACATGAAACAAAACAGGGCCAATTCCTAAAGGACAGGAAAAAAGAGGTCTATGTCTTGAGAACTGAAGTAAGTCATGTTATGTCCAAGAGCATGTAAACTGCACTATGATGGAATCCAACACTCAAGTTAGGCTTTCTTATTTCCTTTTTTAGAACAAGCAGTTTTTGCAGTTCAAGAAACAGAAGTTAATGGACATCAGCAGGATGAACATTTTGTACATTAGAAGTGTAACGCCATCATTCACAGAAGAAAACATTCAATTTATTCGCTATCTGGGAGAGTAGAGCAGAAGATAACAGCATTACCCAGAGCAGTTAAGTATCTTACCATAGATACGCTGAATCCTAGACTCATATCATCTTACAGGTGATGAACCAGTGCTATATTAGTTCAGAAAGATATGACACTTTCTCATTATAAGATATATAAGTTTTCACAGATGATGAATGAGTAGGTTCAGGTTTGATATTCTAGTTATTATATAGATACTATGTACATTCATGCAGGTATTTTGCTTGGTATGCCATACATTATGATTATTTATCATTCAGTTCTCTAAGCAGTCTATTTCTAGCTTTTCTATACAAACCTGATTTTTCCACAACACCTTCCTCCCCCACAAATGCACAGACATTATTTAAGAACATAGATATTTCAACTTTTTATTCTCATGGTACAGTGATCTTTCTGAACTAGTGAGAAAGGAGTGAGAGGGGTGCTGGCTGTCTTCCAGTGATGTGGCTCTCTCAGTAACATAAAAGTCCTCAGAGTAGAACATTTGTCACCCTTTGAATTAAAGGAATTGTTCACTATTTACATACATTTCACATACTTTCTGTAATTGTTCCCTGGAAGGTACTTTCAACAAACAGTAAGATTCCAAACAGATTTTACACAGGATTTGGATAGTTATGCAGTTTTCCAAGTATCTAATCATGTGGCAGAACATTTACCATTGAATTAATCCAGGTGAGAAATTATTACTTTTGCCATATGTGTCACACAGTTGAAATGTACAGACTTCACATCCTAATTTATGGGAAAACTATATTACTGACTCATGACTCCAGAATATGGCTTTACCCTTCACAGAAATCTTGTTCTGCTGATGAAAGTGAGACTTCAGTATCATATAGGCTTTGTTCTATCTATCCATCCGTCCATCCATCCATCCATCCATCCATCCATCCAGTGTTACGTTTTATCATTAGTTGTCTAAATTTGGCAATAATTCCAGTGCTCTTAGTGGAAAGAGAACCACGTTCTATTAAGAGAATTGCTTTGACGATGGTACAGTTTAGTATGCATAAATGAAATGCCTTCAACAGCAACTTAGTACTTACATTGTGGGTGCAGTCAGATCGACAAATGACTGACAGGAAGAACTGCAGAATGTATACGCTACCTACATATTCCTTGCTGCAGTTAAAGCATTAGCTTTATTGTTATGTTCTTCTCAGATGCAAAGAACAATTTGCCCTTTGTAGCTTTGTAGTTTTACAAATGTGAAGCCAGTTTTCACATCTTTCCTCATCCTTTTCATTAAACAACTCCTTTCACTTTATCTCCAGACACACCATTTGCTACACTTCTGCTTAGTTTGATATTTAGTCCAAATATATTTTGTTTCTTGCGTATCTGTATTTGCTCTGCTTCTTTTTTTTCTCTTGCACTACAAAGCAAATGCATGCTCTGTTAGTTCCCAGCCCATGCAAAAACTTTCCTGCTCCCTCAGATAAATCCTCTTAGCCACTTCACACTGATGCTCATTCAGCACTTGTTTGCAGCAAACTGTTAAATTACAGGAAGAGAAGATATTTGTGACTTTGGAAATGTTGAAAATGTACCTGTCGAGTGACTGACAACTCATGAGTTACAAAGTGAACCCTAGTTGACTTGAATGCTGCTATTCCAAATTCCTGCCGTTATGTCATCAGACATAAGCAGGTTCAAGTGCACCCAGGACCATATTCATTTCAGTTCTCTGATAAATCCATTCACAAGCCAGTATGCTGTACTGCGGAAAACTTGGTCTCCAAACTGCAAGACTGAATCCAACTCAAAATCACCTCAGATTCCATATGAGGCTGCTCTGGTCTGCTTGTTTCCCATTTTGAAATCTGCCTGGAGGTCATGATCTCTAGCATGTACTGCAACAGCAACCATCAGACTAAATGGAAGTCTCAATTCCCAGCTCCTGCATGTCCTCCTTTTGCCTGCCTTAGGCTGAAAATGTCAAGAACATAGTATTTCAAAAGCAAGGTGTTGCAGTAAGAGCAAAAGTACTAACTACTGCCCATCAGTTACTAGACTTACTTTCCTAGTGGCCTATCTGGAATCCCAGGACCAGTAGGCAGTTAAGTCTGGATATATAGTCTGAAGGACCAGAAGAGAATTAGGCATTTGTAAAGAATGAAGAAAATGATCACGAATTTTCCTGTTTTCTTGAGCTCAGCTGCTTCCTCTTAAGTAATTTCATTTTGTTCTGAGAGATTCATGGAACAGTCATGAATATGCAGGAAGTATTCTGCATATTCCCTCTCCCACAGTGAAAACTACCTTATGAGTCCTCATCGTTTACCCAAACTGTTATGAGACAATATCAAATACCATCCTTTACAATATTTGAGCTTATAATGCTATTCTCTTAAAGACAATACAGTTCTGTAACAAGGATTGCTAGGCATTTTAATATATGTTGTTAGGCTTCACCAAAGCCATACGATTTTCATGTTCTCAGAAAACTATGTATTGCTCTGAAGTAGTTTTCTTTTACATTACGTAAATTAAAAGCAAACTGCTTTATGTATTATTGACTCTTCACTTTTACAGAAAATATTAACCTGACTTTGAGGTTTGAAAGCTTTGAAGCAAGACTCAGATTTTTAATGAACATCTTCCATTTCAGTAAGTACTGAAACTGCATTAGGATTTTTTCTAGAGAAAACAATGAAGTCTCATACTGTGGTTTTCACGGTGGCTGAAAGGTATCCTTCTATTAGTCATCTATACCACAAGCCAATTAGGGTGTCCTTTGATACCTTTACAAAGTCCAGTCAATTAGCCAGAAAGAAAGGCTATTTTTCTTTTTAAGAAGATAGGGGTTGTGGTGATTTATGCCAGTATGAAGGGCTTCTGCCAAAATGTAATCAGATTGTCAACCTGATTGAGATAACATGGACCCCAAGTAAATGGAGACCTGAGAATGTGCTTAACAGAAAGCCAGAAATGTGGATATTACACATTTTTAGCAGCAAGCCACAATCTTAAGGTCATTGATCATTATAAGAAATAGTAAAAAATATGGACTAAGACCAAAAAAGGTGTTCCTACGCTGCCAAAATAGTTTGGAATCTTGTATCAGTTTTCCAATGTATTCAAAGCACAAAGCTGGATATAAAATTTTATTTAAAATAAGCAATAGTTGACAAGCAAAACATCTAAATCTGTTTTTTCTTTAAAGCAAAGACTTTAGCAGAAATCCTGAAAACATTTCTAAATTTATGTAAGCAATAAGAAAGAAAACAGAATAACTTAAAGAGGCTTTGTCAAAAGGAACATATTCTGAGCAGCAGATCTTGAAAAGGCACATTTCTCAGAAAATCACAGCACTCTACAGTCTCACAGCTCTGACCAGAAAACCTCACTGCATATGAACAGAATACTGCAATGTTATAATAACTGAGACTGCTGCATTCGTTAAACATTAGTAAAGATTCTCAAGTGGCCTGAAATCATCTTTATTACACTAAGCTTGTTGCTCTAAGAAAAAGAGGAGATAATGTTGAGAACTCTTCCTTCTGCTCTTGATTTGTTTTTATTCTTTTAATATTTCAGTATGAAGAATTTCCCTGGAACACTATTCCTGGTGGGGAGTGGAGAGAGCTGGAGAAGCAGGGAGAAGCAATTGCATTTTTGTCCAAATGATGGACAGTTTTTCCAATTTAATTATTTAACTGCTCATTCCTTGATATAAAAACTGCAACTAAATTTATACTATGCTTTTTCCCCTTGTACAGATAATCTTCAGTAAGGACAGCTGTAGAGTATGTATAGCCCTTATGTCCAGCATTGACTGGCAAAAGAGTTCTGTTTCTCTAAGTCCCCAAAAAAAGGCCCCATCAGTTTGGACTCCACTCATAATCCTACCTGGATAAACTGCACCATCCACGCACTCAGAAAAGATGGGAATCTCACAAATTTACAGACGAGGAAGACAAAGCATGAAGGAGAGTGAACTTGGAACATGAGTAGCTGACAGAAAGCAAACCCCGTAGCTACAAGGCACATCAGCCGTAGTCCTCGCCCAGCTGCCTTCTCTCAGTGAGTACTAAGTTACAGGCACTGTCTTACACCCAACTTACAGGGCATTGTCCCAGCATGGATGAGTTCAGCTGCTGAGAAAGTTAATCACCTTCTTAAGAAGGTTATGTATACCAAAAGTCTACTCTTTCATTAGAGTGATTACAGCTCCCTCCCAGCTTAAGGAAACTCCTCCAGCATCCCCTGATGCTTTCAGTACTCTCCACTAATTTATGTTACTTACCTCAGCTGGTCATCACCACAAGCTGCCACCTGATAGACTGACCATCCTCCTGGTACTAGCCAATGACTAGCTGATGTTCTGTTAGGTCCTCTTTCAAAGCAGCTCTTTGTAGAGAGGAATCTGTGGCCTGTGTGACCCTGAAGGAGAACTCCCCACAGAGGAAAAACACTCGATAAGCCCTTCCCTTCCCTCTTGACTTCTGCAGCATTTATTCTCCCCAGCAATGAAAACTACAGCTGCCAAGGGTGCCTCATGAGTCTATAGACAGTCCCCTTCT